AAGTACTTTTTATGTGCCCATAATGTGTACTATCAAGACCACTGTAAAGGAAATTTGTATGATGTGTACCCAAAACCTAAATAAAAAACTTGTTAGATAAACTTAAGTAAAGCTCTTGAGGGAAATGTTTCCAAATTATTATTACAATCAAAACTAAGAGCTAAACCCTTGTTTTCCATAGAAAATGGGTAGACACTCCTTCCAGAGAGAATGGATCCAGCTAATACAATGTGTGGAGCTATTATTTTTTCAGAGGGTTTTCTTGTATGTTTGTTAAAAACTCTTAGACTTTTGCTTTTGTTCCTCTTCTTAGCACCTCCAGTATTACTAGCATTCCCTTTTTATACCATGGTTAATATCCAGAGACAAGACAAGGTGATAAAAAGAATGATAGAGTAAATGAGTAGGTGGGTGGTAAGCAAGGTGGCAGTGTGGGGCTGGGAATGAGGCAGGCAAGCTGGCAGCCAGCCACCAGTCTTGAGACAGTGAACAGTGAACATCTCCTTTCAGTCACTCATGGAAAGAGTAAGGTGATGAGGATAAAAAAAAATTAGGTAACAAAAGATTGGATATCAGGCTGGAGGGAGAGAGTATGGAGGGGGTGAATGTATTCAGATATTTAGGAGTGGACGTGGCAGCAGATGGGTCTATGAAAGATGAGGTGAATCATACAATTGATGAGGGGCAAAAGGTGAGTGGTGGAGTCTGTGGAGACAAAGAATTTTGTCTATAGAAGCAAAGAGGGGAATGTATGGGAGTACAATTATACCAATGCTCTTTTGGGTGTGAAGCATGGGTGGTAAATGTTGCAACAAGGAGAAGGCTGGAGGCAGTGGAGATGTCGTGTCTGAGAGCAATGTGTGGTGTGAATATAATGCAGAGAATTCATTGTTTGGAAATTAGGAGGAGGTGCAGAATTACCAAAACTATTATTCAGAGGGCTGAGGAGGGATTGTTGAAGTGGTTCAGACATGTAGAGAGTATGGTGCAAAATAGAATGACTTCGAGTGTATAAATCCATAGTGGAGGGAAGGCGGGGCAGGGATTGGCCTAGGAAAGGTTGGAGGGAGGGGGTAAAGGAGGTTTTGTGTGCAAGGGGCTTGGACTTCCAGTAAGCATGCGTGAGCATGTTAGGAGCAAATGGAGACAAATGGTTTTTAGGACTTGTGCTGGAGTGTGAGCAGGGTAATATTTATGAAGGGATTCAGGGAAACCGGCAGGCCGGATTTTAGTCCTGGAGATGGGAAGTACAGTGCCTGCACTCTGAAGGAGAGGTGTTAATGTTGCGGTTTTATAACTGTAGTATAAGTGTGCCTGTGGCAAGACAGTGATGGAGTGAATGATGGTGAAAGTTTTTCTTTTATGGGCCACCCTACCTTGGTGAGAAATGGCTGATATGTTAAAAAAGAAAATGTGAATACCCCTTGATGCCAGAGAGCCCTTTATCCAAGGAATTGGATCAATCACTTCTCCCTTTCCTTGGATCAAATCCAATTTCTTTCCATTCCCCCAGTGCTATATGACCACTTCGTGCCTGGTAAATGTAATAACATCTTAAAAGCCATACAAAAATTAGGCCAACAATGGAGTAAAGTTATTCACATCATACTTAAAAGCAATATTAAAAATTTTATTATAAATTTTAAATATTGATTCCATATTCATATAAAAAGATAACAATATGTATTTTAAGAATGTTCCACAGGTCACTTACTTTTTTTATTTTTTTATTTTTTATTATCACACCGGCCGATTCCCACCAAGGCAGGGTGGCCCGAAAAAGAAAAACTTTCACCAATCATTCACTCCATCACTGTCTTGCCAGAAGGGTGCTTTACACTACAGTTTTTAAACTGCAACATTAACACCCCTCCTTCAGAGTGCAGGCACTGTACTTCCCATCTCCAGGACTCAAGTCCGGCCTGCCGGTTTCCCTGAATCCCTTCATAAAGTTACTTTGCTCACACTCCAACAGCACGTCAAGTATTAAAAACCATTTGTCTCCATTCACTCCTATCAAACACGCTCAAGCATGCCTGCTGGAAGTCCAAGCCCCTCGCACACAAAACCTCCTTTACCCCTCCCTCCAACCCTTCCTAGGCCGACCCCTACCCCGCCTTCCTTCCACTACAGACTGATACACTCTTGAAGTCATTCTGTTTCGCTCCATTCTCTCTACATGTCCGAACCACCTCAACAACCCTTCCTCAGCCCTCTGGGACAACAGTTTTGGTAATCCCGCACCTCCTCCTAACTTCCAAACTACGAATTCTCTGCATTATATTCACACCACACATTGCCCTCAGACATGACATCTCCACTGCCTCCAGCCTTCTCCTCGCTGCAACATTCATCACCCACGCTTCACACCCATATAGAGCGTTGGTAAAACTATACTCTCATACATTCCCCTCTTTGCCTCCAAGGACAAAGTTCTTTGTCTCCACAGACTCCTAAGTGCACCACTCACTCTTTTTCCCTCATCAATTCTATGATTCACCTCATCTTTCATAGACCCATCCGCTGACACGTCCACTCCCAAATATCTGAATACGTTCACCTCCTCCATTACTCTCTCCCTCCAATCTGATATTCAATCTTTCATCACTAATCTTTTTGTTATCCTCATAACCTTACTCTTTCCTGTATTCACCTTTAATTTTCTTCTTTTGCACACCCTACCAAATTCATCCACCAAATCTCTGCAACTTCTCTTCAGAATCTCCCAAGAGCACAGTGTCATCAGCAAAGAGCAGCTGTGACAACTCCCACTTTGTGTGTGATTCTTTATCTTTTAACTCCACGCCTCTTGCCAAGACCCTCGCATTTACTTCTCTTACAACCCCATCTATAAATATTTTAAAACAACCCAACGGTGACTCACACATCCTTGTCTAAGGCCTACTTTACTGGGAAAAAATTTCCCTCTTTCCTACTTTACTCTAACTTGAGCCTCACTAATCCTCGTAAAAACTCTTCACTGCTTTCAGTAACCTACCTCCTACACCATACACTTGCAACATCTGCCACATTGCCCCCCTATCCACCCTGTCTACGCCTTTTCCAAATCCAAAATGCCACAAAGACCTCTTAGCCTTATCTAAATCTGTTCACTTATATGTTTCACTGTAAACACCTGGTCCACACACCCCTCCCTTTTCCTAAAGCCTCCTTGTTCATCTGCTATCCTATTCTCCGTCTTACCTTTTAAATTTTCTTTAAATTTTATAACTCTACCTTTACACTTTACCAGGTACACTCAACAGACTTCTCCCCCTATAATTTTTGCACTCTCTTTTATCCCCTTTGCCTTTATACAAAGGAACTATGCATGCTCTCTGCCAATCCCTAGGTACCTTACCCTCTTCCATACATTTTTAAACAATTGCACCAACCACTCCAAAAACTATACCCCCACCTGCTTTTAACATTCTTCTTTACCCCATCAATCCCGGCTGCCTTACCCCTTTTCATTTTACCTACTGCCTCACGAACTTCCCCCACACTCACAACTGGCTCTTCCTCACTCCTACAAGATTTATTCCTCCTTGCCCTATACACGAAATCACAGCTTCCCTATCTTCATCAACATTTAACAATTCCTCAAAATATTCCTTCCATCTTCCCAATACCTCTAACTCTCCATTTAATAACTCTTCCTCTCCTATTTTTAACTGACAAATCCATTTGTTCTCTAGGCTTTTTTAAACTTGTTAATCTCACTCCAAAACTTTTTCTTATTTTCAACAAAATTTGTTGATAACATCTCACCCACTCTCTCATTTGCTCTCTTTTTTACATTGCTTCACCACTCTCTTAACCTCTCTCATTTTCTCCATATATCTTCCCTCCTTGCATCACTTCTACTTTGGTAAAAACTTCTCATATGCTAACTTTTCTCCCTTCTACTCTCTTTACATCATCATTCCACCAATCGCTCCTCTTCCCTCCTGCACCCACTTTCCCTGTAACCACAAACTTCTGCTGAAAAACTCTAACACTACATTTTTAAACCTACCCCATACCTCTTCGACCCCATTGCCTATGCTCTCATTAGCCCAATCTATCCTCCAATAGCTGTTTATATCTTACCTAACTGCCTCCTCTTTTAGTTTATAAACCTTCACCTCCCCTCTTCCCTGATGCTTCTATTCTCCTTGTATCCCATTTTACCTTTTACTCTCAGTGTAGCTACAACTAGAAAGTGATCTGATATATCTGTGGCCCCTCTATAAACATGTACATCCTGAAGTCTACTCAACAGTCTTTTATCTACCAAAAACAAAATCCAACAAACTACTGTCATTTCGCCCTACATCATACGTGTATACTTATTTATCCTCTTTTTCTTAAAATATGAAATTACCTATAACTAAACCCCTTTCTATAAACAGTTCAATCAAAGGGCTCCCATTATCATTTACACCTGGCACCCCAAACTTACCTACCACACCCTCCTAAAGTTTTCCTACTTTAGCATTCAAGTCCCCTACCACAATTACTCTCTCACTTGGTTCAAAGGCTCCTTTTACATTCACTTAACATCTCCCAAAATCTCTCTCTCTCCTCTGCATTTCCTCTCTTCTTCCAGGGGGCATACACGCTTATTATGACCCACTTCTCGCACCAACCTTTACTTTAATCCACATAATTCTTAAATTTTTACACATTCATATTCTCTTTTCTCCTTCCATAATGATCATTTAACATTACTGCTACCCTTCCTTTGCTCTAACTCTCTCAGATACTCCAGATTTATCCATTTATTTCCCCACCAGAAACTCTCCTACCCCCTTCAGCTTTGTTTGCTTAGGGCAGGAACTACCAATTCTTTCATTCATAACATCAGCAATCATCTGTTTCTTGTCATCCGCACTACATCCAGCACATTTAAGCAACCCAGTTTATAAAGTTTTTCTTCTTCTCTTTTTTAGTAATTGTATACAGGAGAAGGGTTGACTAGCCCATTGCTCCCGGCATTTTAGTCGCCTCATACGACACGCTTGGCTTACGGAGGAAAGATTCTTTTCCACTTCCCCATGGACAATAGAAGAAATAAAAAGGAACAAGAGCTATTTAGAAAAAGGAGAAAAACCTAGATGTATGTATATATATATATGCATGTGCGTGTCTGTGAAGTGTGACCAAAGTGTTAGTAGGAGTAGCAAGATATCCCTGTTATCTTAGCGTGTTTATCACCTGAAATTGATACTAATGTGTGCATACAGCTGAAAAGCAGAAATAAGTAATGAATGCGAAATGATTATACTCAACAGATACATGGAGAGTTGAGATAACCTGTTTGGTGTAACCCCCTTGGTGTATAGTACAGGTGGCTGTACTGCAGTAAGTCAGTTAAGCCCGTCTGATATTGTAAGTAACTTTTGGCTTATACTGAATGTAGCTTACCATAGTTTATTGTGTAAATTCTCCAGTATTAAGCAGGCTAAGCAGTGGAAATAGTTTTATTTTGGGTTATGGGAAAAAATGAGTTTTGGTAATAAAAGCTAATATAACATAACCAACCCAACAAAACTCATTCTAAATTAGGAGTAATTCTAAATTAAATTGAATTATATTAGGTTAGGCTACCATAAAAATGTTTTCTTACTTGCACAAAATATAACCAGCTAAATTGCACAAGCCATAATTTTGTAGAGATGTCGCTACAGGAAGAGAGCCATGGAAGCTTGGGATATTTGTCCTTTTAGAGATCTCTCAGTTGTCAGATTGAGAGGGAGGATGAGAACATGAACTGATTACCAATTAGTATTACAGGGCTTACCCACTTCATGGCAAGTTAAAACCCATTTCTTAAGCTTAACTCATGGACTGGGTTGAGAGAGAGTGTCTCTTTAAGAGAGGTTCCTTGATGCTAGTGAGGGACTCCTAATCCAAGGAATTGGATCTGCCCTTCTTTGGCTCAAACCTGAATGCCTCCCATTCCTCTCAGGTGCTATATGACCCCCTCCTGTGAGTTTAACAGCACTTCTCCATGAATGTAATAATAATAATAAGACAGAATGTGCAAATGTCTGTAATGCTTCATACCTTTCAGGAGTGTTTATACTTGGTTCAGGAGATTGACATAGAACAAAATGATACAGGCTGATGGACTACAAGCTGCCATTCATACAACAACTGAAGTAAGGTTGTGTGTGTCCTGAGTGTTTAACAAGGAGCAAATTATTATTATTATTATAATCAAAAAGAAGCGCTGCAGGGTAGGAAAGGAAGCGAGGGTATTGGGCGGCAGAAGGGGGGAGGGGCGATCAGTGGGTTACAGAAAACAGCGGGGCAGGGGATAGTGCAGGGTAGAGGGTAGCAAGAGATTGAGGTAGAAAGGGCTGAAGGTATCATCAGAGTTTGTGAAGTAAGTCGGTTGTTGTCAAACAGTCAATGAGAGAGTCCGGATGAAAGGTGGGTCCATCAGCGAGAAGGGAAGGTAAAGAGAGAGCAACGGAGCGAAGACGATGTTGGAGGTAAATTCTGCGTGCTCGTTGATAAAGTGGGCAGTCTAACAGAATGTGGCTGACCGATAATGGAACCTGACAATTCTCGCAGAGAGGAGCAGGGCGCCTCTCCATGAGATATCCATGAGTAAGATGAGTATGGCCAATGTGGAGATGGGAGAGGGTAGTCTCCCAACCTCGGCACTGGTGACAAGAAGACGGCCAGTAACCTATACTCGGTTTAATAGATTGAAGTTTGTTACCGAGTAGGGTAGACCAACGTTATTGCCAACGGGTGTGAAGGTGGGTAGCTATTGCAGCAAAATAGTCCGTAAATGGAACACCTCTATATGAAACTGGTAGGTCATGTACTGCTGACCGTGCAGCAGTGTCTGCCTGTTCATCGCCCTGTACATCAACATGACTAGGGACCCAACAAAAAACAATATCTTTGTTTGGTAGAGATGCGGCGTAGCCAAAGTTGGATACAGAGGACTAAGGGGTGAGGTGTATCAAATTTCTGTATAGCCTGTAAAGCACTAAGGGAGTCTGAAACAACCACAAATGATGACACAGGCATAGATGCAATACGGATAAGTGCTGCAAGAATGGCATACAATTCAGCAGTAAAGATACTAGCCGAAGATAGTAAATGCCCTCGTACGACGCTGTCCGGAAACACTGCTGCGAATCCCACGCCGTCAGAAGACTTAGAGCCATCTGTGTACACTGCAATGGCATGAGAATGAGAGTGGAAGTGGTCAAGAAAAAGAGAGCGGGAAGCTACCATAGACAGTTGGGCTTTTGAGCAAGGGAGTAAGAAAGAACAGACTTGAACAGCTGGAACTTCCCAGTGGGGTAGGGAAAAGTGAGATGCTACATGAACATAGAAAGGTGGAAATTGAAGAGAAGACAAGAGCGAATGTAGGCGAAGAGAGAAGGGACGGAGCAAACAGTGAGACCCCCCCAGAGGAAATGATGGGCATTAAAATCGCCAAGTAACAGAAGTGGTGGCGGTAATGACGAAACAAGAAAGGCAATATCCAGGATAGATAATGCCCAAGAAGGAGTGAGATACAAAGAGTAGAGTGTATACCACCTATGCAAGTGGATACGGGCTGCTGTGTAATGCAGCGAAGTACGAACAAATAGCTGATGGTACAGAATATCAGTGCATAGAAGAAGGGCACTTTCATTAAAGGTCCCATCAGGAAAAGGATCTGAAGAATACAATAAATTATAGCCTGAGATGGGATAGATAACGGCAGAGTGTAATTTTGGTTCCTGTAAGCAAACACCAACAGGGGAAAACTGGGAGAGCAACATTTGAAGCTCACCCCGATTACCCCTGAGGCAGCGAATATTCCACTGTAAATAGGCCATGATTGGCAATGATAAAGATACCTGAAATCCACAGGTAAGGGTACCTACGGACTAGAAGGGTTAGAAAAGTCCACATGCGGTGGCAAAGGAAAACATTCAAGTAGCGAAGGAACGGTGCGTTGTGAAGAAAGGAGTTGCGCAGATGGAGAAGAGGAAAGAGAAAGAACAGAGGGTGGATCAGTGTCCATTGATGGTTTGGTCTCTGCAATATATTCAGAGATTGCTTCAAGTGTTTCGGAGTTCAGAGACGTCGTATGGGAGACAATATTGGAGATGGAAGGAGGAGGAGTTTGAGTAAAGATCGGAGCTGTAATGGACTGTACCAAGGTAGGGGGGAGGGCGAAAGGGTGGAGGGAACTGGAGAAGTGTGGGAGGGGACAGAAGAGGCAGAAACCCGGGAGGTGGCAGAAGAGGAAGAAACTTGGGACAGGGGAGGAAGGCACAGTATGAGGAGGAGGATGAACCTCCACACTTGTAACAGAGCCAGTGAAAGGGGAAGACCTAGGTACAGAGACCGTGAAGGGAAAATGTGGAGGTGGATGAAGGGAAGGAGGGGTTAAAGGAGATTTGTTAGACCTCTGAGAAGTAGAGGGACGATTGGGGAGGTGTTGTACGAGGTCTTGTCGATACTGGGGTTTGTGAGGGAGAACACGAAGAAGTGAGGACAGACTGAGGTGTTGAAGAAGTAGGGATGTCTGAGCCCAGGACAGCAAAAGAATTAGATACAGGAGTGACTGTGGGACTGGCAACCGCAGAGGAGGCTGCAGAAGATGGGACCCCAGAAGTGGGGGGACGTTTTGAAACACGAGAATAAGAAACACGGGGTAGTCTCCCTTGGAGGCGGAGATGAGAAACTGCCATAGCATAAGGGAGACCTTCTGCCTCTGAGGCAATGAATTTCCTGCTCATTTAAGTAGACCTGGCAACGCCGAGAGTACGAAGGGTGAGTCTCATGACAATTAAAGCAAGAGGGAGGTCGACTGCAAGATGCATTAGAATGGTCATCGGCACCACAGACTGGGCATTCAGCTATAGATCTGCAATATTTTGCTGGGTGGCCAAATCACCAGCAATTCCTACACTGTTGCGGTGTAGGGATCACCTTCCGAACTTGTAACCGATGTCCTGCTACATAAACAGAGGATGGGAATTCACGGCTGTCAAAAGTTAAACGAGCCACATTGCAAGGGTATCGTCTTCGCCCGCGGGCGGGAAGAACATAAGTGTCTACCTTGAGAATTGGGAGATCTTGGAGTTCCAGCTGTTCGAGAATGTCATTGCCACATGTCTGGAAATTCTGTTGAACTATGGTATGGGGCAGAATAACAATACCACTACAAGAATTAAGGGAATGATGTTTTTCGATAGTGATAGGGATAGTATCGATATGTGAAAGAAGGAAAGATCATGAGCTTGGGTAGAATTCTGGGCTGTGATGATGCACATACCACTGTTAAGAGCATGAAAGGAAATATCTCTACCAACGTGGCGTAGGAGCGCTTTACCAATACAGTGGACCCCCGGTTAACGATATTTTTTCACTCCGGAAGTATGTTCAGGTGCCAGTACTGACCGAATTTGTTCCCATAAGGAATATTGTGAAGTAGATTAGTCCATTTCAGACCCCCAAACATACACGTACAAACGCACTTACATAAATACACTTACATAATTGGTCGCATTCGGAGGTAATCATTATGCGGGGGTCCACTGTACTATGGTCAGAAAGATAGGCAGTAGAAGAAGTCGGTCGTAAAGTAAAGAATTTAGTCCAATGTGTGGTCCGAAACTGAGTGTGGAGAGGGAGTGCATGACGTGTCGGTCTTTTCCGAGTAGAATGGGAAGGTAACGAAGTAACATCGTCTGGAGATTGTCATTGGCGTTTAGAAGTGGGACCAGAGTCGGTCCGACGTGAGACGGGCTGGCGATTCGAAAATCGTTGCACCATAGAGGGAGAGGCCGGAAGCATAGTCAAAGGAGAGCGGAGGTCAGACAAATCGGAGTCAGTGGAAGCCCTGGTACCTGAAGCGGGTGAGGAAACAGCACCAGCAAGAGGTACAGGGGCCTTAGGAGTGTCCAAAGAGTGGCCAAAAGACGAGGCGAGGTCAGAACAGGGTGCAGTAACAATAAGGGGCCCAGGGGTAGCGGGGTCATGGATTTGGGACTCCATGGTTAGGTAACTTCTTTCTTTTTGTTTTTAAGAAAAAAAAAAAGAAGAAAATAAAATAAAAAAAAGAGTAAAAAAAGGGGGGACCAGGGAGGGATAGATCCTAGGAGGAATGAAAGGGCCAGAAATCTTCCTCCGCACCCAAGAGGACCTCAGCACCGCAAGTAGCGCAGATGCGGCATGGAACCTGTGCCATACCCTACCCTTCATGTCAGTAAACCAGCAATCCGGGATAGCAACCTCACATCTGCCGAGCTACCTCGATGGACAAAAGAGAGGGCGGTCCCATATCCGCCACAAAGCATGCCTCCTTCGGCCACCACCCCCGGAATCCGAAAGGTGGCTTCCAGAGATACACCCGTCGCCCGAAAGACACCCAAAGCCACCCTCTGGGATACCAGAGAGGGATCATCCCCAGGCGATCCAGATTCCACGGCAAACTACGCCACCGCCAAGAACCTCAACGGAATGGGATGGACCCCGGTACCCTTCCCCCTACCTATGAACTAGTGTGCCTGTGGGAAAAATCCCAAAGGCCAAAAAGAGGAATAGCAAAAGGGAGGGGTGGGGAGGAGGAGGAGGAGGAAAGGAAAAAGGGGAGGATGGGATAGGAAAGGGGGGATTGGGGGGTAATTAGGTTCGGTTTGAGGAAGGAGACCGACAGGTCTAATTCCTCAGACCAAGAGCCTCTTCACCACGCCAAGGAGACCCCCTTGAAGAGGCACAAGGAGCAAAGCTCTCAGATTTGGAGCTGTTAGTCTTGATCACATACCAAAATTATTATAATCAAAACTTAAGTACTAAACCCACATGGGTCATACAGATCGCATAACAAAATCCAATCAAGACAAGATTAAAGAAAATGGAGAGGAGAGGGTGAAACAAAATACAGTACCATTGAAAAATGAAGTACCACAATCAGATGAGGGTATCGTAAACCACAGTATGTGTAATTGTACAAAGGACATGGAAGCGTAAATATTATGCAAAGGAAATAAGCAGATATGAGAAAAAGTGTAATTACCCATATCCAAAGAAATGCCTCAACATTTTAATAAATGGAAATGTCACTTTTGAATAAGTGTAAAAACTTGCTTGAGGAAAGAATGTGTCATGATTACTCTCCACTTTTTCACATAAAAAATACAGGTGTGCACATTCTTTAAGCAAAAGATAAAGACAAAAAAGAGCAACAACAGCCACAGGCTTAAAACAGATAAAAATCTAGTCAACCAGTGGGATAAATGAATACAAACTGCAAAAACAATTTGTACATCCCCAAATACTAAAACTGTTAGCTATGCTAGATGGAACAAGAGGACTTATGCCCCTCAACATACAACAGGATGGGACAGCAATGGACACCCCATCATGAGTAGATTGCCTTTTGTAAGTACTAAATCACCTAACAGGATCACTAGTTCAAAGCAACCCAAGTATATTATCTTCCTTTCTTTTTGCCAGTATCTATGGCCTAAAAATAAAGATAAAAAATAAAGTTCCTTTTGTAACAGAAGCCTACATTAGAGATTTCTTGGACAGTGAAGTCTTTATTCCAAAATATAATTAGTATAGATGTGGTAAGAGTGAATAAACTGCAAGGAGTAACTATTTGTGAAAGACTCGTTAAAATTACACTGGTCAACATTATTAATATTATAATCATAACTAAGTGCTAAACCCACTAGGGTCAAACACTGAATAATAATGGTTTCAATTGGGAGCTGAATTCAAATCTTAGTTTTGCTCCAACACTTAGTTTCTGTGAGATAGAACCCCACAGTGAATGATTTCACCAAGACATAGCCATCATGGAGAAGGGATGTCAGATGATCTGTTTGATGGCTGACTACTGCTGGACACTTGTGCACGAGTGATACTGAACATCAAAAAAAAAAAATACTGAAAATTGCAATGCCTATATCTTTTTACAAGTGTATAGAAATTTTATTATTTTTGTTATGTATATTATATACAGTGGACCCTCGGGTAACAGCGTCATTGGTTAGCGCCAAAATCGGATAACGACTCGCTTTGGCAAAAAAATATTGGCTTGGCTAACACCAAATAACTCAGTTAAGGGTTTTCGTCCTGAACGTGTCCGCGTGGCCTGAGTGGGCCCAGGGACTCCGTGTACAGCCAGTGTGCCATTGTTTACAAGCCAGTGAGGAAGATTCCACGCATACATGCGATATATTTTGTATTCCATTATTTTTAGTGCTTGCAACTGCTAAATAATCCACCATGGGCCCAAAGAAAGTTTCTAGTGCCAGCCCTTTGGTTAAGAAGGAAAGAAACACGATAAAATTCAAGAAAAAACTCGTACCTACACTCCCTGCATGCCTGCTACACTCCCTGCATGACCCAAAATGTTCAAGAAAAACAATGTCCCATCTCATCACTCGTCAACAAGTCCACAATAAAGGTAAGTGTCATTTCAGTATTATTTATTGTGCATATATCATTGTTTTCTGTGTAGGGATTATTATTATAATCAAAAAGAAGTGCTAAGCCACAAGGGCTATACAGCGCTGCTTCTGTGTAGGGAAATGTATATTTCATGCAAAAAAATTATTTTCTTTAATACTTTTGGGTGTCTGGAACGGATTAATTGGATTTCCATCATTTCTTATGGGGAAAATTAATTCGGCTAAAGGCTAAATTGGTTAAAGGTTAGCTCTCTGGGACGGATTAAAGGCGTTACCCGAGGGTCCACTGTATAATGAATTTATCCGTGCACAATATAATAGCTATGACTGTTAGGTAATGTGTATAATATGGTTCTTCAAACTTAAATGGCCAAAATACTGATCATAAAATTTCCAGAAAAAAAGTCATTCTTATGTGATAAGAGACTAAACAAGCTAGTGTTATTAATATGGTAGTGCCTGGCATGAAACTGAATATCAACAATTTGGTAATTATCTTCGTACACAAACCATCATTTCAGCAATGGCAGAGGAACTTACTGAACAGATATAAAGGACAGATAACTGCCTTGAAAATCTGGAGAATACACCGAATATTATTCTTTGAGATTTCAACATTCCAAATGTAAAATGAAAGATGATGGACAACAGCATTGTACTATAAATAAAGTACCAGCGCTGTATAGCCCTTGTGGCTTAGCGCTTCTTTTTGATTATAATAATAATATAAATAAAGTACAAGGAAGTGCTCTAGATCAACAAGCACATACCAGGGAACTCCTAAACTGCCCAAAAAAAAAAATTAATAGATCAGAAAATTTCTTCATTAACTCTGCTCACTGGTAAACATAAGAAAGAAGGAACACTGCAACAGGCCTACTGACCCATGCAGATTATCCCAATGACCCACCCAGTCTGGTCATCCCCACTCAAGGATGGAGCACTGTACCAGACCCAGCAGCACAAGCTAGTCAGGTCCAACTCACACCCACCCACACCCACTCATGTATTTATCTAACCTATTTTTAAAACTACACAACGTTTTAGCCTCAATAACTGTACTTGGGAGCTTGTTCCACTCATCCACAACTCTATTACCAACCCAGTATTTTCCTATATCCTTCCTGAATCTGAATTTTTCCAACTTGAAACCATTGCTACGAGTCCTGTCTTGGCTGGAAATTTTCAGCACACTATTTACATCGCCTTTATTTATTCCTGTTTTCCATTTATACACCTCGATCATATCCCCCCCTAATTCTACGCCTTTCGAGAGAGTGCAGATTCAGGGCCTTCAGTCTATCCTCATAGGGAAGACTTCTGATACATGGGATCATCTTTGTCATCCTCCTTTGCACGTTTTCCAGAGCATTTATATTCATTCTGTAATACAGTGAACAGAACTGAGCAGCATAGTCTAAATGAGGCCTAACCAAGGATATATAGAGTTGAAGAACAACCTGAGGACTTCTATTATTTATACTTCTAGATATGAAGCCAAGAATTCTGTTAGCTTTATTGCGAACACTAATGCACTGTTGTCTTGGTTTTAGGTTACTGCTAACCAGAACTCCTAAATCTTTTCGCAATCGGTAGTATTAAGATCTACATTATTTAGTTTATATGTGGCATGGTTATTTAACTGTCCAACATTTAGAACTTTGCATTTGTCAATGTTAAACTGCATCTGCCACTTCTCCGACCATTGCGTCAGTCTATTCAAATCGTCACTGGCTGAGAAGGCAGGCCCAGGCGGCTCAGAGCGTGAGTACCCGTCCCGGACGAAGGACGATTAGCGAGTTAACGGACCATTTGCAAGCCAATGTTTGGACGAAATAACGGGACTATTTCCGAAATGGACGACTTTCAGGCCGGACGATTGAGGGACCACTGTAATTTATAAGAAATATTGTATAAAAACATAGAGAATGTAAAGAAATAAAGTAGTTAATGAGATGCTGGCAGAGGTTTAGGGTGGTGGAAAATGAGCAGGGCGGCATATGTTGTCAGTGGCCCTATGTACCTCCAACAACATTGGAAGATTTAGGTTCGTGTCGTCTTTTTTCTATCACTTAACTTACTTGCTACACTGTTAATGCTACACTTTATCACTGGCTGGCGCTATAGCCTGTATTGACTACTACTGCTTTAGTATCGTACATATCATAGAATCACTGAAGAAGGCACATTCTCCCCTCTCTCTGTCCTTTGCCAAAGGGCTGGCACTTGGGACTTTCTTTGGGCCCATGGTGACTTATTTTGCAGCCACAATCAACAAGCACAAAAATTGCGAAATGTTTTGGATGAATGCTCACTCAACCAGTGACAGAGCCAGACTGAAGCGGCATCCCAGCAGGTGGATGTGTCTGATACGTGTGATTCCCGGGACAAGGTCCAAAATTCGAAGCAAAATTTCGCTCAAAAAAGTGTCTGAAATCTGAAAAGTCCGATATCCGGGGTTCCACTGTATTACTTAAACAGGTAAAAAGACAGCAAGGGACAAAGAAAATTTCACTATGAAAATCATAATATGCATGCAAGCTGTCTATTAACACACAAAACATGTACATATTTACTAATCAATTTCACCATACATAATGTGTAAAATAATACAACATTAAAGACATCATTGTGTGATTCACTCTTTAAAAATATTAAGGTTTTAAAATGACACAGCCTGATATTTTATAGCAAAGAACAATTTCCCATTAATCCTAAATTTGGAGCAGTAACTGGTCCAGATATTTCCTGAATAAGAACTTTGGAGGCAAAAGCAAGTAGAATACCAAATGCTGCAGTCGTGATTGTGGAGTACGAGAGAGAGAAGCCATACACTGTCATTTGCAATGGGGCATTCTGTAGTATGTACAACATTTGCAGTCTTTCCTCCAGTGGGCATATGAACTGAAAAAAGAAAATTTAGACATATTTATTATATTTCAATAGGGAGTACTAAACTTGTAGGGGTTTATACAGTACCATACTTTGTTATGGGGCTCTCAGCCATGTTTCCAGATACACAAGACAATATCTACACATTACCACAAACAAAACATTAAGGAATAGATTCTGGCTGTGGTGGAACTCATTCTTTTCTGCTGAACACCACTTACCAGCTTCTCAATATATTCCCAGTCCCCGCATTTCTCCATCTAACTTTTTTTTTTAACTGCCAAGTAGCTTCTATGCAGAGGTGAATGTTCCTTCCTTGGCTGATCGTCGTGATGCTCATTGTCTTCGTTATTTTGTCAGCGCTCATGATCTTTGCGTTTCTTCTATATATAGGTTAGTCTCGGACATTAGTAGAAGCCCACTGTTTGTTTGGCACCCCTGCCTACTCCGACCGTTTTCTCTTTGTCTTTACTCACTCCGCTCTTCTCTCCAGTTGTATGTTCATTTAGCATCTGTATGTTCTCTCCCTTGTATGTCCATTTAGCACCTGCCTTTTCCCTTGGGAAGTTCCGACGGTTCATGTCTGTTCTTCCCCCACTACCGTGCACCAAAACTTTCCTGCCTACAACTGCTTCTCACTCTCTTTTTCTCAAGCACTTCCGGTCACATGCTCATGCCACCGCTGTTTATGTAGGTGGTTCTAAATCTTCTGATGGTGTTGGGTTTGCAGCAGTATTCTCTGATGATGATGTCCGAGGTAACTTGTTAGACTCAGCTAGTAATTTTTACTGCCGAGTTGTATGCCATCCTCATAGAGCTTCTTTGTATTATATACATGTCTCCTTCGACGTTTGTGATCATTTCAGATTCCCTCAGTGCTTTACAAGCCATTAAACAATTCGAGTCCCCTCATCCATTAGTCCTTTGTATTCAACTATGGTTGTGTTGTGTGGCTAGCAGAAACAAAGACATCGTTTTCTGTTGGGTCCCTGGAAACGTTGGTGTGCAGGGTAATGAACAAGCAGATGCTGCTGCGCAGTCAGTGGTGCATGATCTTCCGGTTTCCTATAGAGGTACAGTATTCCGTTCAGGGATTATTTTCCAGTCATCTCAGCCTGTCTTCACAGCCGTTGGCAACAACAGTGGTCAGGCATGCACCATAACAAATTGCACTCTATTAAACCACTTTTAGGCTTGTGGCCATCTGCTTATCACCGTTGCCATTCTCAGGAGACTGCGCTCTCCCAGCAGTGCACTGGCCATACAGGCCTTACCCATGGGTATCTCATGGAAAGATGCCCTATTCCTGTGAGGTTTGTCAGGTCCCTATTTCAGTTCTTCACTTTCTTGTCAGTTGCCCGGTTTACCAGCGAGCTCGCAGGATTTACTTCCAATGATGCAGCTAACCTGTCACTCTTGCCTTATCTTCCCTTCTTGCAGATGGCCCAGCCTTTGAGTTACATTCACTTTTTGTCAGCAACTGCTTTACTGTACGAACTTTGACACATAGCCCTTAAGTGTCCCTTCCAGCCCTTTTCTCCCTTCACCTCTGATCCCCTCTCTGTCTAGCTGTTTATAGCCTCAGCATTATTTTCTGCCCTGCAGTGCTGTATGACCCTTGTCGGTTTAGTGCTTTCTTTGATTGTAATAATTAACTGCCAAGTCCATTTGTTCCTTATGCAGCAATAAGAGTAACTAAAGAAAAGTGTATCATCAATATGAGATAGGACACCCCTTCACTTTTCCCATACTAGTGAATCTGAGGGTGACTTAGGCAAACTGGTCACCTACCATAATTGTCATACTGTACCTACCTTTAAAAGTCTGATACCCTCCTGATTGACCTCTGCATAAGCAGACGACAGGAGTGGTAGCAAAGAAAGGGGCAGGAAGAAGTTGGCGAGGTCAATGAGATTAGGATTGATTTTCAACCACATTACAAGATTCATTGCCAACCACATAACTACCAGACAGATCACTGACATCATCCACCTTTGAAGAGCGACAGATGATAGCCTCAGACGTGCCTGCAACAAAACCTGATGTTAATATTTAACTAGACCAAACCAAGATTCAATGATCACATTAGGGCTTCTAATGGTAGCTTCAGAGATGCCTGGAACAAAATTACTCTTGTACACATTATGGCAAAAATCAGTGAATGAATTAACAGTTGCAGCTTGTACAACACTGAAAATTTTCACATTGGTAACCACCTCCAATGTTTGTCCAGTCTCCCTAATCAGGTTACCATAGTCTACACTAGTTAGGTGAGCACTTGTATTGTGCAGCACGGAAAGTTGGGACCTTAACTATGTTATTGTGGTTTAGCAGTTAGTTTTGATTAAAATAAAATTACTATGTTACTGTTAAGGTAATTCTGAGATATTGCAACTAAGTGATTTGTGACTGCTTTCTCTAAGCTCTCCATTACCTCAAAGTTTATCAGAGATTCCTTGTTTACTAGTACCAAGTCAACCAGATTATTTCCTCTAGACGATTCTGTGACAAACTTTTAGAATGTAATCTTGAACTTTTTTTAGGAAGTTGCTTGACTAGGTTTCCCATCAAATTGAATATTTAAAATTTCCCATTAAAACTACATTTTTATATCATAGAAATTTAGCATGGTTGCTATTTAGATTTCAGGAACTGAAGATCACACCTAAGATTAGCTTTCCAAGCCCTTTGAGAAACTGCAGCCATACAAGAGTACAGTGTATGCCCCTTCCACCTTTGTATCTTTCCCGATGCAATAGTTTAAATTTTCCCTAACATACTGATATCTCAAATCTGCCTCTTTTCCTGTTGACTATCAGCGTGGAATAATTTATACTGCTGCATGTGGCATTCAGCAGGCATGGCCCTATATTTTATGCATGAGGCATTATGTAGAATGAAGGGGTAAAGCAGCTGGAACTGACGGCATCATGGCAGAAATGTTAAAAGCAGGGGGAGATGTAGTGTTGGAGTGGTTGGTATTTTTGTTTAATAAATGTATGAAAGAGAGGAAGGTACCTAGGGGGACAAAAGAGATTGTAAAAATTATAAATTATAGAGGAATGAGTTTACTAAGTATACCAGGTAGTGTATGGTAGAGTTATTACTGAAAGAATTAAGAGGTAAGACAGAGAGCAGAATTGCAGATGAGCAAGGCGGCTTTAGAATGGGTAGTGGATGTGTAGATCAAGTGTTTACATTGAAGCATATGTGAACAGTATTTAGATAAAAGTAGGGAAGTTTTCATTGCATTTATGGATTTAGAAAAGGCATATAATAGAATGGATAGGGGAGCAATGTGGCAGATGTTGCAAGTACAGTGGACCCCCGCTTTACAATCACCTCCCAATGCGACCAATTATGTAAGTGTATTTATGTAAGTGCTTTTGTACGTGTATGTTTGGGGGTCTGAAATGGACTAATTTAATTCACAATATTCCTTATGGGAACAAATTCGTTAAGTACTGGCACCTGAACATACTTCTGGAATGAAATATCGTAAACCGGGGGTCCACTGTACATGGAATAGGTAGTAAGTTACTAAATGTTGTAAAGAGTTTTTATGAGGATAATGTGGCTCAGGTTAGGGTGTGTAGGAGAGAGGGAGATTACTTCCCAGTAAAAGTAGGTCTTAATGTGTAATGTCACCATGGTTATTTAACATATTTATAGTTGGGGAGAGGGGTTGGATTAAATTATGAGGAATCAAATACAAAATGGGAGTTGACACAGTTACTTTTTGCTGATGATACTGTGCTTTTGGGAGATTCTAAAGAAAAGTTGCAAAGGTTAGTTGATGAGTTTGGGAAGGTGTTGAAAGTAAACATGAGAGTAAGGTAATGAGGGTATCAAACAATTTAGATAAAGAAAAACTGGATATCACATTGGAGGGAGGGAGAATGGAAGAAGTGAATGTTTTCAGATATTTGGGAGTTGACGTCAGCGGATGGGTTTATGAAGGATGAGGTTAACCAGAGAATTGATGAAGAAAAAAAGGTGAGTGGTGCATTGAGGTATCTGTGGAGACAAAAAAACATTATCCATGGAGGTAAAGAAAGGAATGTATAAGAGTACAGTAGTACCAACACTCTTATATGGGTGTGAAGCATGGGTTGTAAATTCTGCAGCAAGGCAGCTGGAGGCAATAAAGATGTCCTGTCTAAGGGCAATGTGTGGTGTAAATATTATGCAGAGAATTTGTAGAGTGGAAAGTAGGAGTTACTTAAAGTATTAATTGGAGGGCTGAAGAAGGGCTGTTGAGGTGGTCTGGTCATTTAGAGAGAATGGAACAAAGTAGAATGACTTGGAGAGCATATAAATCTGTAGGGGAAGGAAGGCAGGGTAGGGATTGGCCCCAAAAAGGCTGGAGGGAAGGGGTAAAGGAGGTTTTGTGGGTGAGGGGCTTGGACTTCCAGCAAGCGTGCATGAGCATGTTAGACAGGAGTTAATGGAGACGAATGCTTTTGGGACCTGACGAGCTGTTGGAGTGTGAGCAGGCTAATATTTTGTGAAGGGATTCAGGGAAACCGGTTAGCCAGACTTGAGTCCTGGAAATGGGAAGTACAAAGCCTGCACTTTAAAGGAACATCTGAACTGTCATATCTGGGTAAATGTACAAAGACAGTGATTATGTATGAGTGATGGTGAAAGTGTTGAATGATGATTTAATTTTTTTTTCTTTATTTCTGGGTCACCCTGCCTTGGTGGGAAATGGCCGACATGTTAAAAAAAAAAAAAATGGCATTCAACAGGCATGTCCCTATATTTTATACTGAATCAGATCTCGGCTATAATATCTTTGTTTCCTGCAAAAACAATTAAGCTTTAGTACATCTATTTTATTTCCTGTGCTCTGGCTATTTGTACAGTAAATGTTAAGTTTATGCAACCCCTTTCCTCTCTCTGTTTGTAGACTAATTCCTATATTTTTATCAGAAACTACAATATGAGCTATCTTGTTTTCTAGATATTTTCCCAGGCTAACTTGACAATTCTAACTTTTTCTGTCCCTACTTCTGCAACCCTTTTTGTTGTCCCCATACACCCATACCTCTGTTTCTCATTGGTTTTAAGTCTTACACTAATCAGCAACAGCTTCTTTGACTGAACTAATGCTATCACCCCTTTCCCAGAAAGATGGACCCCTTCCCTTGCATACACATCATATTTACCATGGATGTTATCCCAATACAGTGGTCCCTCATTTACTGTCGTTAATCCGTTCCTGGAAGTGTGACGATTATCGAAATAGACGATTTTCGAATCAATTTTCCCCATAAGAAATAATGTAAATACAATTAATCCGTTCCTGACACCCAGAAGTATTAAAACAAAAATTTTTTTTTACATGAAATATAGATGTAGTACATAAACAATACAATGGGACATGATGAATAAAACATTAACAGCATAACACTTACCTTTATTGGCAATTCTCCTTAGAGTATGGAAGACTGGAGCAGGAGAGAGATTGGATTAGTTACTGTTTGGAAGGGGAATCCCCTTCTATCAACACCTCAGGTACCAAGTCCTTTTCTGGGGTTACTTCTCTTCTCTGTTTCTTAGTGCCACTAGGACCAGCTTGAGTCACTGGAGTCCTGTCTCGCAAAAAAAAAAAGTGTCCAGAGAGCTCTGTTTCTGGCGTCTCTTTAAAACTTCCCTAAAATGGGCCAAGACTGTCACTATTGTTACGAACATAGTCAGTTGGTCCCTGGGTTATAGTGCTTTTCGTAACAAAATAAACTTAGTACGTCTAGGTACTCACTTCAGAGGAAAAGGAATTTTCTTGTTTCTATTTAATTTATTAATAGTCATAATAATCACTTAAATTCACCTTCTCATATTTTGCACTATGAGTAGAATACTTTTACCATTCCTCATTAAAACAACACAGCACTAGGTCAAGTATTTACAAATGGCTCTGAGTGAGTCACGAAATATTAGTATATGCACATGCACAGGCGTTGCTTAAAATCTAACACATTAATAGATTTCTTATGATGGGGTTCACTTTACAATAAGTCCTCATACACTACAGAGGCTTGCTCACTTGGCTTCACTTTCTCTAAGAGCTTCTCAACCGCCTTCTCCAACCGAGACAAGTCTTAGCAGTAAGTTCCCGAAAATTCCTGGGATTTTCTAGGGAGGCGAATGGTGGTTTAGAGGTGGATACTTCCCTCGACCCTTCCTGGTCCAGAGGAAGGTATGAACTGAACTCTGTGAGGCTTTACCAGCCCACTTTGTCTCGGTCGGAGCCGGGGTTGAGCAGCTCAAAACACCTACTGGTGCTTGGCCAGGTCACCAGCAGTTGACACTAATTAAATGACCTACCTAAATACAAAGCTAAGTAATACGACCAGATAATATTATAAAGTCGAGTAAATCCATTTTAGCTACTAATGGAATTACTCCTGAATATAATATTAAGTGAAATAGCAAAAATAACATGTATAAGTATACCATTGTGATAATAACAAGAAACAGTCTACTTAAAATGAACAAAAGGGTGTAACACTATACAAGTTGCCGATATGGCTTGCAACATCCTTCTCAGGGTTATGTTTCTCCATAAATCTTTCCATCCTATCCCACATTTCAAAAATCTCCTTAATTTCTGAAGAAGGCACCTTCTTCCATCTCTCTTCCTCCTTCTCTGCAGCAAGATTCTGAGCTGCAATCTGTTGCTGTTCCTGCTGAAGCTCTCGCAGCTCTTCAGTAGTTACCCCTCTGTTGTGTTCCTCCACCAAACTCTTCCACATCCTCCAAACTCACATCCAACCCCATGGAACTCTCCAATGCCACAATAGAGTTCACAACTGACATAGGTTCATCAGGGTTGGCTACAAACCCTTCAAAATCCCTCTTGTGGACACAATCTGGCCACAATTTTCTCCAAGCAGAGTTCAAAGTCCTAGTAGTCACTCCCTCCCAAGCCATACCTATAAGGCTTATGCAATGGAGGATACTTAAGTGTTCTTTCCAAAAATCTCTTAGGGTCAAGTGAGTGTCTGAGGTCACATTAAAGCACCTTTGAAACATTGCTTTGGTGTAGAGTTTTTTAAAGTTTGAAATGACCTGCTGGTCCATGGGCTGGAGGAGAGGAGTGGTATTCGGGGGCAAGAACTTGAGTGTGATGAACCCAAACCCCTGCAGAATTAGGTCATTCAAGTTTGGAGGATGAGCAGGTGCATTGTCCATTACTGGGAGGCACTTGAGATCCAATTTCTTTCCCAGGAGGTAATTCTTCACACTAAGGCCAAACACTTCACTGAACCACTCGACGAAAATTTCCCTCGTGACCCATACCTTATTATTAGATCTCCAAAACACACACAATTTACTGTTCATAACATTGTTTTTCCTGAACACACTGGGATTTTCAGAATGGTACACTAGTAACGGCTTCACTTTGAAATCCCCACTAGCATTAGCACAGAACGTGAGCGTCAGCCTGTCTTTCATGGGCTTGTGTCCTGGCAGTCCCTTTTCCTCCTGAGTAATGTAGGTCCTCTTTGGCATTTTCTTCCAAAAGAGGCCTGTTTCATCACAATTGAACACTTTTTCAGGTTTCAGTCCTTCAGTGTCTATGTACTCCTTGAATTCACTTACGAATTTTGTAGCTGCAATTTTGTCCGAACCGGCAGCCTCACCATGCCTTATCACACTGTGTATGCCACTAGGGTTCTTAAATCTCTCAAACCAACCTTTGCTGGCCTTAAATTCACAAATATCAGTACTCGTTGCAGGCAATTTCTTTACCAGATCGTCATGCAACTGCCTAGCCTTTTCACAAATAATCGACATCATAAGACTATCTCCTGCTAATTGTTTCTCGTTTATCCACACCAATAATAACTTTTCAACATCTTCGAGTACTGGTGATCTCATTTTTGTCAGCATATTTACCCCCTTTGCAACAACAGCTTCCTTGATTTCCTTTCTCTTGGCCACGATGGAAGATATGGTTGTACGGAATTTGTTATACATCCTGGCCAGTTCGGCCACACGTATGCCACTTTCATATTGTTCAATGTTTTTCTTAAATTCAATCATATTTCTCACCTTCTTTACCAAAGGCATGGCACTAGGAGCTTTCTTTGGAGCCATGGTAGCTTATTTAGCACTTGCAAGCATTAAAATGAATGGAATATTATGAAATATTTCGTTTGAACAAGTGAGAGGACCGTCGCTCGCTGGTAAACAATGGCACACTGGCTGGGAAGGGAGGCCGAGGCGGCTCAGAGCCGTGAGTACACGTCCAGGATGAATGACGATTAGTGAGTCAACCAACCATTTGCGAGCCAAGGTTTGGACGAAAACGTGACGATTTCCGAAAAGGACGACTATCGAGCCCAACAATTATTGAGGGACCACTGTACTGCCCAACCACTTACATCAATTGCCTTAGACATCTATTTACTGCTCACTCCTCTTTTTGGAGAAATGCTATAAATAACTGGGATCCTTCCTCTGACCTAATTAATTCAATTAATTTAACCACAGGAATTACCAACAAGTAATTCCTCTGATTAAAAAATGCATTGCATACCTGGATTTTCCAGTATCTGAAGAGGATTTCTGAATTACTCATTAGAGGTGCTGGCTTAACTCTCGAATCCAAAGTGGTGACATGGCTGCTGATTGATCCAGTCTGTAATGAAGACAATTCATTCATTTTACAGTACACACACAAAAACAAGACTGATTATCTGAAAGAACATACTTATAACTGTGTGTCCTAATTCCAATGATATCAGGAATCTCTGATATGGAAGATTTCACCAAAACTTTTAAGGTAGTGAACAGGATAGAAAACTACCAATGCACTAAAAACTAAATTATTTTAAAAATTGATTAATTGAAGATTAGTTAATCAAAGACTGATTAAACACAGCCAAGACTGATTAATTCAAGACTGATGATCAATTCAAGATTTTATTGCTATAAAACAAGAAGGTACAATATAAGTTTGCCAGTCATCTTTTAAAACTTTCTATATATACTATTTTACTAGCATTTCAGTCAAGACATTGTGCAGTCATACATACTGTAGTTTTAATATTTAAGGAATACTCTGACTTGGGTGATAATTCACTGCTCTTACCAAAATACAACACACACAACAACAAGCATTATAAAACTACTAACATGAATAAAAAACTTAGTGCAAATAAACACTATCACACCAAGCTAAAATCCAAGTACTATCACACCAGCAACATCCTTTCGTATGTAACTTTGATGAGTTTCAAGTCTCACTACTCTCAGAGCCAGGCCATGGGCCAGGCTTGTCTGGTGCTTGCCTAGTCAACCAAGCTGTTGCTGCTGGAGGCCCACTGCCCCACATATCCATCACAGCCTGGTTGATCTGCCCTCCAAAGTTGGAGGGCAATAAGCAAATCACTAGAGCCACAAAACCAGCCAACAGAAAGAATCACACACAATCAGTCCAGAAGGTGAGTTCTCGGAGAATGAGGTCTAGAAGAAATAGCAAGGATGAGGCGAATGTACTGGCTGGTAGTGAAAACTGCCACTCAACAAGAATACTGACTGGTGCAACAGGCTCAAAGCAAGAACACAAGGGGTGAGGAGAGGAGGAGAGTGCCACCCTCCCTGTCTTACATATGAAGTGTGACCAACACAGAGACAGGCCAAGATTATCTTTTGGTGACAAAATTAAAGGAACACTGGTTCCACAGCTCTGTGACAGTCAAAGAAATTACACAGAAAGAAATATCTGGTAGATGAACAGATTTCATTTGTTTAAATTCCACATGCTGGCTTAGTAGGGTGACCCAAAAAAGAAAGGAACACTTTCACCATCATTCATACATACTCACTGTCTTTACAGAGGTGCCCAGTTACAACAGTTCAGATGTCACTCCGAATAGCCAGTAACCCAAACCCCTCCTACATTATAATAATTGTATAAGTGTATAGTGGTACCAGCATTTTTATATGGGGGTGAAGTATGAGTTTTGAATGTTGTAGTGAGGAGACTAGAGGTAGTAGAGATGTCATGTATACCTGTGATGAGTTTCAAGAGTTTTCTACTTCCAGAGCCCAGCCCTGACCTAGGCTTGTCTGATGCTTGCCTAGTCAACCAGGCTGTTGCTGCTGGTTGCCTATTGGCCCACATATCCATCACAGCCTGGCTGATCTGCATTAGAGCAATGTGTGGTGTGAATATCACGGAGAGTATTTGGAGTGTGGAAATTAAAAGGCGATGTGGAGTCACCAAGGGTATAATTTAGAGGGGTTGTTGAGGTAGTTTGGGCAATTGTGAGGCTTATTTTTAAATAAAATACTGTAATAAAGATAATGATTGAACAAATGATGGTGAATGTTTTCTTCTTTGGGTCACTCTGCCTTGGTGGCCATTGAAGAAGAGAGAAAAAAATAAGCCTCCTCTAAGGAACTAGAACTACCAGAATATTTAACCTGGGGAACATTGAAGGAATCAGTGGTCAACTTTCAAAGTGGAAAAAAAATCATTAGACGACAGAGGGAAAGTTTTCTAATTTGTAGACTCCCTTCTCCAAGGTAACTAGAGGATCCGTAATGAACTATAGACTTCCCCATGAAGGTCACTAGAATCATATTAATGATGGTAAACAATACTGACAAGTTGATGAATAGGACATGCAACACTTGGGTATCTTGTATCTTATTACAGATGGCAATTAAGATACCCAAGTGTCACATGTATCTTATTAACCCATAAACAGCCCAAACATATATATATGTTTTTTCAACATTTGAAAGTATGTAAAAAAAGTAGATCTTTTTTTTATTTTACATTTGAAAACGTGTAAAAACTTTGATCTATGTTTTTTTTTTTTTGTTATATTTGAAAATACAGTGAACCCCTGGTTAACATATTTTTTCATTCCAGAAGTATGTTCAGGTGCCAGTACTGACCGAATTTGTTCCCATAAGGAATACTGTGAAGTAGATTAGTCCATTTCAGACCCCCAAACATACACGTACAAACGCACTTACATAATTGGTCGCATTGGGAGATGATCGTTAAGCGGGGGTCCACTGTATGTAAAAAAAAAACGTAGATCTACTTTTGGAGCACTATGCATATGAACGAAGATCTGCTTGGACCGTTTACGGGTTAAGACATAACATAAGAAAGAAGGAACACTGCAACAGGCCTACTGACCCATGCGAAGCAGGTCCATGCCCCCCCCCAGCCTAGAAAAATGACCACCTAGTCAGGTCACTCCCACTTAAGGAAGGAGCACGGCACCAAACCTGGCAGCCCAAGCTAGTCAGGTCCAACTCACACCCACTCATGTATTTATCCAACCTATTTTTAAAACTACACAAGGTCTTAGCTTCTATGACGGTACTCAGGAGTTTGTCACTAGAGGATCATTCACTAAATACAGACTCCCTGTAATAATGTTGGTAAAATTAATGACAATATGTTAGGTAAAAGGACACAAGTGTAACTAATGTGACATTTTACTGTGGCAACATTTCACTCTCCAGGAGACTGACAAAGCTCCTGGAAAGCAAAACGTTGCCACAATAAAATGTCATATTAGTTGCACTTGTGTCCTTTTACCTAACAGACTCCCTTCTTCAAGTTCACTAGATATTTTGGACAAAAGGTAAATTAAGGTTAATGTTCATTAACCCTGTTTCACACAATGGAAGGATTGCTGGTATCTTTTCTTTCTGTTTTATAAACAATAAGATAACAGGTACATCTTGCTACTTCTACTTGCATATAGGTCACAGTATACATGAACACACATGTGTATACACACCCATCTAAGTCTTCTTTTATTTTCTTAATAGTTCTTGTTTTTATTTATTTCCTTTCATTTTCATGGGGAAATGGACAAGAATATTTCCTCTGTAGACCATGTGTGTCATAAGAGGCAACTAAAATGCCAAGAGCAACGGGATAGTAACCCCTTTTGTATAAATTACTAAATGTAAAAAGAAAAGCTTTATAAGGTTTTCTTCTTTTTTGAGTCACCCTGCCTCAGTGAAAGTTAGCCAGCATATTGAAAAACTAAAAAAAAAATTAACTCTGACTAGTGCATAGCATAAACTTACAATTTTCATTCGTACAAAAGGAAAAAAGTAATAAAAATTTATGTGTACAGCTAACAGGTACTACAATAATTATACCTTAACAATATGAGTTGTTTCTGTGTGTCCTAAGCTGGAGCTCTGTAGAGAGTGAACACTTGGCGATGAAGCTAAACTATTCTCTAGTGAGGGAGTCGATGGTACCCTAGCTGATGGTAAGCCACTTGATGTTGAATGTTCGCTAGCTGCCTCACTGTTGTCTTGATGACTCTATAGAAGAAAAAAAAAACAATAAATAATGTACTAAAAACAATAGACTCCTTATTTACATTTTTCAATATAAATACTATCAAGATTTTTTTTACTGAAACCCCTTGACTGGCCCTTTCTCCCCCCCCCACCACACACACATTTCATGCTGTTTCACTCCTACACATAAAGATTAGTCCCAGGAAGGTAACACAATGCTAATCTTCATATCCACAGTAATGTTTCCGATTTCCATAAAAGAGAAAACATTTCACCTTTCTCTGTTGCATTACACTCTTGTTCCTCCCTTCATCAGTATGTACATGTTTTCATAGCAATAATCCAAATATTGAAATAACTAAATATCTTCCAGTAACTCACAATCATCGTCGCTCTTACACTTCATTCTATTTAGTGCATTTATTCTCAATGGCAGATCTGGATAAATAAAAAAACTAAATATAGGAAAAAGATAAAAATACAAAAACATTCAAAATAAAGGAATGCTGTAGCAGGCCTACTGACATATACTTAACAGGGCTTTCCTAGGTCCAAATCTTTCTCCTATACACTGTATTTGTGTAAAATATTTTTAAAACCACTGAAGTAGTTAATTTAATGATTCTATTTGGCAGATTATTCTACTCATCTACAACTCTACTGCTAAACTACCATTACTCTTCTACATTTCTCTTAATCTAAATTTCCCCAGTTTGAAAGTACTGTCTTGAATTCTTCCCTGGTTTGATATTCTAAGCATTCTTATCTCTTTTATTTAGACCTGTCTTTCACTTGCATAACTCATTCACATCTCTCCTAATTTTACAGATTCAGGGATCTCAGTCTATTTTCATAGGAAAGATTTTTACACTGTGGATTAACTTTGCCATGCTTCACTGTATATTCTCTAATGCATTTATATCCATTCTTCATTCTGTAGTACTGGAGACCAGAACTGCATAATCTAATTTTGACCTTACATATGAAATACATATAGAGTTGTGGGACTTGTACGTAATTTTTTTTTCAACACACTGGGTGTCTCCCACTGAGGCAGGTTGACCCAAAAAAGAAACACTTTCACCACCATTCAACACTTTCACCATCATTCACACATAATCACTGTTTTTGCAGAGGCACTCAGATATGACAGTTCAGATGGCACTCCAAACAGCAAATATCCCAAACCCCTCCTTTAGAGTGCAGGCATTGTACTTTCCACCTCCAGGACTCAAGTTTGGCTAACCGGTAAACCACACATGTAATTAATGGTAACAATACCCACGTATGGATGCATATGCACCACACAGGAGAGTGGGGTGGTTGTTGGTAGCAGCAGCAGCAGTGACAAGTACTTCAAGTGATGGCAGTGTCATGAGTTTGGAGTAGGATTCATGCTAGAATATGAGATAATAAATCTACCCTTGTTTTATGTAACAATGTTAGAGCCAGAAGCAGACATGTCACCCCTATGTGTCTGCTTCTGAGATAACCAGATGGGCATAATTTAATCTCATAGGGTTATTAGTTCTTGCCCTTGTAGTGTTTCCTTACAATACCATGGGAAAGTGGATTAGAATCCTTTCCTATAAGTAACGTGTGTGGAGACTACTAAAATGCCGAGACCAAAGGGCTAGTAACCCCTTCTCCTTTATCAGTTAGTAAACAGACAAAAAGAAAAAACAGATTCATTATGTAAAGTAAAAGGACACAAGTGCAACTAATGTGACATTTATTGTGGCAACGTTTCGCTCTCCAGGAGCTTTATCATTATCTTTTTATCCCACACCTCTTCCCAACACCCTAGTACACACTTCTTCTACAACCCCATCTACAAACATGCTAAACAACCACTGTGACACCAAAGTTCCCAATTTAAGGCCTACTTTTACTCAAAAAAAAATCTTACTCTTCATTAAGTAGTGCTCACTTATATGTTTAAATCTTAAATGTAAACAATTGGTCTACACATCTCCTACCCTTACAAAATTCACCTTGCTTCTCAGCAATCCTACCTTCTGTCTCCAATACGTACATACTTCTTGAGGTAAACCCTAGAATAGATGAGGGGAAAAAGGTGGGTGGTGTGTTGAAGTATCTGTGGAAAGAAAGAAGTTTATCTATGGAGGCTAAAAAGGGACTACCAGAGTATAGTGGCACCAACACTTTTATACAGATGTGAAGAATGGGTTTTGAAACCTGCAGTTAAAAGGAGGCTAGAAGCAGCATATGTGTCATGTTTGAGAGCAACATGTGGTGTGAATATTATGCAAAAAATTCAGAGTTTAGAAATTAAAAGGTAATATGAGGTTATTAAGGGTATAATTTAGAGAACTGAGGAGGGGTTGTTGTTGTGGTTTAGGCATGCACAGGATGGATGGGGATAAGCTGACAAAGAGAATGTAAAAATCTAGTGGATGGTAGAAGGAAAGGGGTCATACCAAGAATAGTTGGAAGGGGGAAGGGGGTACAAGAAGCTTTGAGTTTAGGGGTTTGAACATCCACAAGGCTTGTATGAACATGTGAATGTAGACAAGGAGTGAATGTCAAGAAGTGGTTTAATGGACATGCTGCTAGAGTGCGAGTAGGGTAACTTTTATGAAGGGATTCTGGGAAACTGGTTAACCAGACTTAGAGTCTTGGAGGTGGAAAGGGCAATGGCTGCACTGTGAAAGAGGGGTGGGGATGTTGCAGTTAGAGGGGTAATCTAAGTATGATGTCAGCATACTTCTGGAAAAAATGACAACTGAGTGAATGTTGGGGACTGTGTTTTCCTCTTTGAGTCACTCTGCCTTGGTAGATGGCTGGCGTTGTCTTTTTTATATTAATCCTGTAAAGGTCATATAGCAACTAGGACATTGCAGGCAGTCAAGTTCAATCCATGAAAGGGGAGAGTAAGTTGTTACTTTGATCAAGAGCTCCTTACTGGTATCAAGGTGCTTCCCTTGAGGGATACTGCTGTTGTGACTTAAGATTTCTGCCAAGTCCTTTTCACATCTGGTATGATGGAGTTCTATATTATTCAATTTATAAGTGCCTGAATTATTTTCATTCTCAAGGATCAGGACTTTGCATTTTTCCATTACGAACAGTTTCTACCATTTTTCCAACCATAGCATTAATTTGTCAAAATCATTCCAAAGTATTATGGTATCCACCTCTGAAGTTATTATTCAACATTATTTTGTGTTGTCGGTGAATTTACTCGTATGCCATTAATTCCTTCACCAAAGTTATCAATGCAGATTATGAACAAATGGCACTAAACTGATCCATGTGAAATGCCACTCATGACTGGTTCCCAGTCAGACCTAGTGCCATTTATGTTCTCTCCTACCTAGTAGTTGGGCATATTAGAGAACTCCACTACCGTATGCTGCCACTTTATCAGTTTCCTGTGTGGAACTACATCAAAAGCCTTACTGATATCTAGATAAACAACATTCTACTCTTTACCTTCGTCTACCCCCTCCAATGCTTTACTGAAAAAATCAGCAAATCTATTAGGTAAAAAATGACCTCTTGTGAATTTATATTGTGATTCATTATGTTCAAGGGGGTTTCTAATTATATCTGCTATTATCAATTCTAAGAATTTACCCACTATTGATGTTAAGCTGACTGGGCATTAATTTGAAGGTAAGGACCATCTTCCCTTTTGTAGATGAGAATTACATTAGCCTTATCAAGTATGATTTCTATTCATAGTGAAATATTGTAAAGACTAGTTAGCAGCTCACTAAGTTCTATCTAGAATTCTTTAAAATAAATATTCTTTGCTTTGTTTATATACTCTACCTGCTGAGGAACGAGAGCAGCAGAATTAGCATCGATATCACTGCCACCTGGATCACGCAGCTCATCCATATAGTCTTCATCCACCCAGCTATACTCTGATGGTGCAAGGAAACAGAACATGAAAAGTCAAACCACTGTTTCATATAAAGTACCTAATAGGTAGAAGTGGCACCAAGTCACAATAATTCTTCACTCAAATTCTCAAGTTTGGGCTAATTTTTTCTTTATAAGTAAATCAAGTACAGTACAGATGATCCTCATAATTTATAGGGGTTAATTTCCTGGAGGTGACATGAATCCTGTAGATGCAGATAACAGGAGATTTCACATATCTGGATCATACATTTTTTGGCCCTATATCTTCAAATACTGTTCTAAATCTGCTTAACATCGGCATTCGTAAGAAAGAATGAGAACACTTTAAATGCAATCATATGGTTATTTTTTAATTTAGGGGTTGTATACCAAGCAAAAAAACAAAGGACATCAGAAAAAATGTATAACTGAAGCTATCCACTAAATGGCCTTCAGTAAAAACACAATCAAATCATACAGATAAAGCCCGTGGATTTGGCTGTACCAGTTTGCCCCTCAAGGAAGGTTCCTTGATGTTGGTGAGGGGCTCTTGATTTAGGGAATTGAATCTGTGCTCCAGTTCCCCGAATTAAGCCTGAATGCCTTCCACATCCCCCCCCCAGGCGCTGTATAATCCACCGGGTCTAGCGCTTCTCCCTTGATTATAATAATAATAATGTACCAGTTTGCCATCCTCTACCTCCCTTCTTTTTATTTATTTATTTAAAGTTTATAAACCATGAACATCACCCATTAAAAATTTACAAAATGAGTAATGTAGCCCAATTTAATAAAACATTTCAAACAAACAAAAAAAAAGTTTTTTTTTTTTTCACAACTGCTGTGGTTGACAGAAAGGATAACAATTAAAATGGAGGTTGAACTCTGTGGGTCACATCTGTCTTGCAGTACAATATATTTAGTCTCACACTTTGTTTTATTACTGTTTTGTGGAATTTCTGTTGATATGAACAACAGATCAGTCAAGCCCCCAAATTTGGAGTTAAATTCCTAGAGAACCTGCAAACCTACAATTCACAAATAATGCAATACAGCCTCTCCTCACTTAGCGACATACTCGTTTACCGACGCCTTGGACTTGTGATGGGCTCTAATGTACATTAGAGCTGATTTCCTCTTATTCTGTATTTCAATATACAGTACACTACAATAGAGATTTAAAAAATATACCAGAAATGTTATAAATGGTGCAAAGGTGACATTAAAACAATATCAAAGATGACTGACACAAACCCACTCCCATTATAGTATGCTCCTCACTTAGCGACAAATTCATTTGCACTTACTTTCTTAGACCCATGGTTAGAAAAAAGAAATTGGGCAAAATAACTGCACAAAATGCAAGCAAAACATGAGAGAAATGCTTCCACGGTGAGGTAAACAGTGCACTGAGTTGGTGGCGTCTGAAGCTCCTTGTTATTATTATTATTGTAATTATTATTATTATTATTATTGTAATTATTTTTTATTATCACACTGGCCGATTCCCACCAAGGCAGGGTGGCCCGAAAAAGAAAAACTTTCACCATCATTCACTCCATCACTGTTTTGCCAGAAGGGTGCTTTACACTACAGTTTTTAAACTGCAACATTAACACCCCTCCTTCAGAGTGCAGGCACTGTACTTCCCATCTCCAGGACTCAAGTCCGGGCTGCCGGTTTCCCTGAATCCCTTCATAAATGTTACTTTGCTCACACTCCAACAGCACGTCAAGTATTAAAAACCATTTGTCTCCATTCACTCCTATCAAACACGCTCACACATGCCTGCTGGAAGTCCAAGCCCCTCGCACACAAAACCTCCTTTACCCCCTCCCTCCAACCTTTCCTAGGCCGACCCCTACCCCGCCTTCCTTCCACTACAGACTGATACACTCTTGAAGTCATTCTGTTTCGCTCCATTCTCTCTACATGTCCGAACCACCTCAACAACCCTTCCTCAGCCCTGTGGACAACAGTTTTGGTAATCCCGCACCTCCTCCTAACTTCCAAACTACGAATTCTCTGCATTATATTCACACCACACATTGCCCTCAGACATGACATCTCCACTGCCTCCAGCCTTCTCCTCGCTGCAACATTCATCACCCATGCTTCACACCCATATAAGAGTGTTGATAAAACTATACTCTCATACATTCCCCTCTTTGCCTCCAAGGACAAAGTTCTTTGTCTCCACAGACTCCTAAGTGCACCACTCACTCTTTTTCCCTCATCAATTCTATGATTCACCTCATTTTTCATAGACCCATCTGCTGACACGTCCACTCCCAAATATCTGAATACGTTCACCTCCTCCATACTCTCTCCCTCCAATCTGATATTCAATCTTTCATCACCTAATCTTTTTGTTATCCTCATAATCTTACTCTTTCCTGTATTCACCTTTAATTTTCTTCTTTTGCACACCCTACCAAATTCATCCACCAATCTCTGCAACTTATTATTATTATTATTATTACAGTGGACCCCCGGTTTTTGTAATTAATCTGTTCCAGAGAGAGTGACTAAACCCAAATCTGATGAATTCCGAATTAATTTTCCCCATAAGAAATAATAGAAATCCAATTAATCCATTTCAGACACCCAAAAGTATTAACAAAAAATGTTTTCTACATGAAATAGACATTTACCTACACAGAAAACAATGATACATGAAGAATAAAACAATAATAACATCACACTTACCTTTATTGAAGACATGGTGATTTATGGAAGATGGGAGGAGGGTAGAGGATGGAGGAGTTTATAACTGTTTGGAAGCGAAATCCCCTTCCATAAAGACTTCAGGTACCAAGTCCTTATCCTGGGTTACTTCCCCCTTTTTTTTTAATGCTACTAGGACCAGTTTGAGAGTCACTGAACCCCTGTCGCTTATAAAACAAGTGTTCCAGAGAGGTCTGTTTCTGGCATATGTTAGGAATTGTGTTGGGAGATAGGACAAGATAGTCCTTCAATATGACACTAATATCAGCTCTACAGCTTATTTATCTAGCACAATTCATCTAATATGATATAATAAGCAATATTATTAACATAGAAACATGATATATACTCTAGTATGAATAAAATATGGCATTAAGAATGTCACGAGTGGTGGTGTGTTGTTTGTTGCTGGGTGTACAAGGGTCCACTGAAAGATAACCCTTACATACCTTACATAGTGGTGGTGAAGGCGGAAGGAAGGGGCAGCTTAGGCAGCAGTGAGTCAGTAGCCCTATATACCTCCAACAACAATGGAGGAGTCAGTTTCGTGCTGTCCTTTTTCTATCGATTAAGCACTTAACTTACTTGCTACACTGTTAATGCTACACTTTATCACTGGCTGGTGATACAGCCTTTATCGACTCCTGCTGCTTTAGTATCGTACATATTGCAGAATCACTGAAAAAAGGCACATTCCCCTCTCTCTCTCTCTCTCTCTCAGCCCTTTACCAAAGGGCTGGCTGGCACTAGGAACTTTCTTTGGGCCCAAGGTGGCTTATTTAGCAGTTGCAAGCACCAAAAAAAATGGAAAAATACAAAATATATTGTATGAATGCATGGGATCATCTTCACTGCCTGATAAACAATGGCACACTGGCTGTAAATGGTGTGTCAGACCACTTGGGTCGCGCGGACACGTTCGGGACGAATGACTAATGCCGAGTTCAATGACGATCACCAAGCCAATATTTTGACAAGAAAACGTTACTTATTCCAAATATTACAAATTCTGATGACGACGTAATCCGGGGGTCCACTGTAATATTATTAATTTAGGGAATTGGAGCACAGATCCAATTCCCTATATCAAAAGCCCCTCACCAGTGTCAAGGAACCTTGACGCTGGTGAGGGACTCTTGATCTAGGGAATTGAATCTGTGTTCCAGTTCCCTAAATTAATATCAATAGTAATAATAATAATAATAATAATAATAATAATAATAATGAGGAGCTTCAGAACACCGCCAACTCAATGCACTGTTTACCACGCCGTGGAAGCATTTCTCTCGTGTTTTGCTTGCATATTGTGCAGTTATTTTGCCCAATTTCTTTTTTCTAACCATGGGTCCTAAGAAAGTAAATGCAAAGGACAGTGCTGAGAAGAAAAAGAGGATGATGTCCATGGAATTAAAGCATGAAATCATAGATAAACAAGCAAGGTGTGCGGGTTGTGGGCTCAGGGGTAAGTGTAGGGGAAGCTCTCTCGTAACTCAGATGTTGGCTCATAACTCAGAGCAAAAAATCGACCAAGCAACGTCTCGTATCTCAAAAAACTTGCATGTTGGGACACTCTTAAGTCGAGGTTCCACTGTACAGGTCTCCCTCAACATTTGCGAGGGTTAGGGGATCAAGAGCCTCGCGAATGTTGAAAAATCACGAATGTTTGGTGCCCCAATATATTGTAGGGAAATATAATACAATACTACTTCCTTAACTTGTTGAACCATGAAGAATCATGAAATACAGTGGACCCCCGGTTAACGAACTTTTGTCATTCCAGTAGTATGTTCAGGTGCCAGTACCGACCGAATTTTTTCCCATAAGGAATATTGTGAAGTAGATTAGTCCATTTCAGACCCCCAAACATACACGTACAAACGCACTTACATAAATACACTTACATAATTGGTCGCATTTGGAGGTGATCGTTAAGCGGGGGTCCACTGTACATGAAAACGTCATAAATTGTATTAAATACATACATAACATACAAGTATGTTATTAACCCTTAAACGGTCCAAACAGATCGATGTTCAAATTCGTAGTGCTACAAAAGTAGATCTACTTTTTTTTACATACAGTGGACCCCCGCATAACGATTACCTCCGAATGCGACCAATTATGTAAGTGTATTTATGTAAGTGCGTTTGTACGTGTTTGTTTGGGGGTCTGAAATGGACTAATCTACTTCACAATATTTCTTATGGGAACAAATTCGGTCAGTACTGGCACCTGAACATACTTCTGGAGTGAAAAAATATCGTTAACCGGGGGTCCACTGTATTTTCAAATATAACAAAAAAAAAAAAAAATGTAGATAAAAGTTTTTTCACATGTTTTCAAATGTAAAACAAAAAAGATCTACATTTTTTTACATACTTTCAGATGTTGAAAAAACGTATATATACGTTTGGACCGTTTAAGGGTTAAATACCACTGCCTCCACCACTTCCTCAACCACTGCGAGTCCCTACTACCCTCCCTCCGACCCGCTCAACTGGCAGCCAGCCCTCCCACCAGTGTGGTTAGTGTTTTGTTTGTTCATTATTTGCTATTAAACTACAGTATAAACAATGTAAACCTGACTGTATAAATAATGTAAACATGACTGCATGTTGGAATGGCTATTCGGACAGGTATCGGACGGTGACATCGTGTGTTTACTCTTGAGCACAGCAAAGAATCAAACATTATTATTATTACAATAGTAATAATAATAATAATAATAATAATAATATTTTTTTTTTTTTTTTCAACAAGTCGGCCGTCTCCCACAGAGGCAGGGTGACCCAAAAAAGAAAGAAAATCCCCAAAAAGAAAATACTTTCATCATCATTCAACACAATAATAAATACGATAGAAATGAAGAAGGAAATTGCACAAAAATACGAGGGAGTGGTTGAGGCATCGTCAAGTGTGACTTTGTTTATGCTGGAGTGAGTATTAGTCTCCGTGCTCTTCCAAACATTTCACAATAATTCATTATGTTTGGTTCTTGTAGATTGAGTGCGACTGGAGTGGTAGAGGCAGTGGTAGAGGCAGTGGGTGAGGCAGTGGGTGAGGCAGTGGGTGAGGCAGTGGTTTAGGCAGCGGTTGAGGCAATGGTAGAGGGAGCAGTTGAGGCAGTGGTATTTAATAACATATATGTTATAAATAATAATAGTACATATTATTAATAACATGTATTATTAATATTAAAAACATGTATTATTATTAATAACATGTATGTTATTAAATACCACTGCCTCAACTGCTGCCTCACCCACTGCCTCAACTGCTGCCTCAACCACTGCCTCACCCACTGCCTCACCCACTGCCTCACCCACTGCCTCACCCACTGCCTCACCCACTGCCTCACCCACTGCCTCATCCACTTCCTCAACTGCTGCCTCAACTGCTGCCTCTACCACTGCCTCTACCACTCCCGTCGCACTCAATCTACAAGCACCAAACACAGTGAATTATTGTGAAATGTTTGGAAGAGCACGGTGACTAATGCTCACTCCAGCTTAAAGAAAGCCACACTGACGATGCCTCAACCACTCCCTCGTATTTTTGTACAATTTCCTTCTTCAATTCTATCATATTTATTATTATTATTATTATTATTATTATTATTACTATTGTTATTATTAGTAGCAGAAATGTTTGATTCTTTGCTGTGCTCAAGAGTAAACACATGATGTCACCGTCCAATACCTGTCTGAATAGCCATTCCAATATGCAGTCATGAATGGGTTTACATTATTTATACTGTAGTTTAACAGCAAATAATGAACAAACAAAACACTCACCACACTGGTGGGAGGGCTGGCTGCCAGTTGTGGGGTTGGAGGGAGGGTAGTAGGGACTCGCAGGTGGCGGGAAACTTAAATATGATTTGGCGGCTGGGAATTTGGCGGTTGGGAATTCGTGAATGTGTGAAGCCCGCGAAAGTTGAAAACATGAATGTTGAGGGAGACCTGTATATGTATAATAAAAAAAATTCACATTTGAATGCATTTTGTGTTTCAGAGGCCATCTCTTTAACCCTTCAAGTATTGAGACCCCCTGCTCGCAAACTTGAAACTTGCTCATAGTGTCGAAGAATTTTCACACACACATATAAACAAAAAAAATAGAGAATCTTTTTCCGAAGATAATGACACCAAAAGTTTGAAATTTGGTGGAAAACTTACAGAATTATGCTCTCGCAAAGTTAGCGGTCTTGGCGATATTTACACACTGGCGATTTCACCCACTTTGAGCCCTACTTTGAGCCAATTCCTTTCTTCCACTCGAGAAATCTCACAGTTATTTCGCTAGAACTCTTTTTATTCTACTGACTGAGTACAAGAAACTGCCCATTTACCTATTTCAGCTACACAAAAAAGTGATCAGAATTTACTAATTTGGCCAATTTTATACAAAATTCAAGAGAGGCCAATTTCAAAATAAGGTAAAGAATAAACAATGCAGACATTCCTGGCACTAAAATAACATTTTCTCTGTTCATTGCTCATGTCTCCAGGTCCCTCTTATATTATACTTGCTTTTCATTTTGAATTTTTATTCACACAAAAAATAGATGATTTACTGCTATTCAGATTACTGCATAATTGTAATAATTGTATAAATAATATCAGCACATTGATGAATGCATATCAGACCCACCAGTTGATGTGTAATGGATGCATGACTGTGATTTGTTTATGCCTGAACATTGTCAAAAATCAAACATTTCTGCTACTTTGAGGTCAATTTCAAGCTACTTTTAGTCATAGAACCATTCAAAAATCACCTCTATTTCTGTAGTACATCTTCCATTCTATCAAATGAGACCAAGAAAAACGAGAATACAACCATAAATACCATACGAAAATACACTGCAAAGTCGCTGTTTTAAACCAAAAACACAGTTGCAGTTTTTTCTCATTATGCATTGCTTGCTGCAGGATTTTTTTTATACTGCACACACTGAGCACACAGACCCCATTCTCTCATATGTAGGCCTACCAGCTTTTTCCCACAAGATTTGAAGCTGCTAAAATTTTGGCATAGTAATACAAGACAAACTGGTTTCAAAGCCGAAACAGTACAGGACTGACACCGAAGGGGTTAAATATCACTCTAATCTGGGTAATTATGACATTCATAAGAATTACCGGAAAGAAAAGATGTGGGCCTAGGAAGGCTATTACGCACATTGTGAATGAAGTCTTATGGTTAGTTTCCATTTAAAAGTCATGTGCTGAAGCTCAAAGTATGGCCAACACAAAACAATAAAATGTGAATAATCAAACCTATTTGTAGTTTGCTCATTAGTAAAAGTTAGATACAGTAATTGAATTCTCCAAATTCTAGGGTTGAACAGTATATTATGAAGGTCTTTTGGGGATTCTTGATCATGAATGGCAAAGTAGGTTACAAATATTTAAATACAATTCATCAGAACTGATAATGAAAAGTCTGTGAATGTCAAAGGTTTATGCAGAATTTTTGTAGTAACAAACAGGTCTGTTTCAGAGCCATTATAAGTACATGTATTTTTTTTTTTTTTTTCAACAAGTCGGTCGTCTCCCACCAAGGCAGGGTGACCCAAAAAAGAAAGAAAATCCCCAAAAAGAAAATGCTTTCATCATCATTCAACACTTTCACCACACTCACACATTATCATTGCTTTTGCAGAGGTGCTCAGAATACAACAGTTTAGAAGCATATACATATAAAGATACACAACATATCCCTCCAAACTGCCAATATCCCAAACCCCTCCTTTAAAGTGCAGGCATTGTACTTCCCATTTCCAGGACTCAAGTCCAACTATATGAAAATAACCGGTTTCCCTGAATCCCTTCACTAAATATTACCCTGCTCACACTCCAACAGATCGTCAGGTCCCAAGTATCATTGTCTCCATTCACTCCTATCTAACACCTCATGCACGCTTGCTGGAAGTCCAAGCCCCTCGCCCACAAAACCTCCTTTACCCCCTTTCCAACCCTTTCGAGGACGACCCCTACCCCTCTTTCCTTCCCCTATAGATTTATATGCTTTCCATGTCATTCTACTTTGATCCATTCTCTCTAAATGACCAAACCACCTCAACAACCCCTCTTCTGCCCTCTGACTAATGCTTTTATTAACTCCACACCTTCTCCTAATTTCCACACTCCGAATTTTCTGCATAATATTTACACCACACATTGCCCTTAGACAAGACATCTCCACTGCCTCCAACCGTCTCCTCGCTGCTGCATTTACCACCCAAGCTTCACATCCATATAAGAGTGTTGGTACTACTATACTTTCATACATTCCCTTCTTTGCCTCCATAGATAACGTTTTTTGACTCCACATATATCTCAACGCACCACTCACCTTTTTTCCCTCATCAATTCTATGATTAACCAATTTGTTTATACTACTACTAAAATTATACTATGTTGATAAGTACCTTCTAGCACAGGTCTGTCTGTGTGTCCCTGCTGTGTTAAACCCATATACCTGGCTTCATAAACTCGAGAATCCTGTTCCAGTGCTTGCATAAACCTGCGGATCCCTGAAAAAAGTAAGATTTTCATGACGGTTTATGTCATGAAATACATGTATTTTGAATGTTCATATTCTTAACAGGAAAGTATTAAAATCTTAATTGTGCTTCAGAAAGGCATCAAAAAAACAGAGAAAGGGGTGACAAGAAGATTATTATTATTGCATTCACTGGGAAGAGATAAATCCATAAGGGTCATACCGCACCTGGGGAAACAAGGAGCTATCAGGTTCAATTCAAGTAAAGAGACAGGTAGAACAAATTCCTTGCATCAAGAGTCCTTCAATGACATTGAGGCACTTTCCTAGGGTAGCAAGGAAAAAGTGGAGACTTTCTAGTATACTCGGGGTTTATAGAGGAGTCCATGGATCCCACTTTAAGGAGTTTTTTCATCCATAAATAATGGGGTATAGTTAATCTAAACCTCAGTAAATCCAAGTGATGAGCAAGGAAAGTAATACCCAACATGCCAAGATCCTTATACAGTGCATGTTATTAAAAGTACACTGGCATTCCTCTAAAACCACAACCACACAGTAGGTTGTCCCTTGCTCTTTAGGACATCCTTCAACTGTCAAGGAAGTGATTAACACATTCTTCAGAGTTTCACGAAGTAAATGCCCCCACAACTCATGGATGGCATCCTAAAGCCATGGGAGTGGGCTGATATCTTTCCCATAGTAGATCTCTATCACAGCCCAAAGGTTCTCAATGGGGTTGAAGTCTGGGAATATTCTGGCTAGTCATCAGAGAAAGGTGTCTCACAGGCATGAAGCAAATGAACAACAAATTTTGCGGTGTGGCAAGAAGTGCTGTCTTGCATAAAATCCTGCACCACATTGTGTGAAAGATTCAGGCAAATGATAATAGAGATTTTAATTAGACACAGCCAACTAAGATAGGTAGCTTTTAAGGAAGTGTTGAAACTTTCATGACATCTGAAATTTAATATTAGAGTTAACATTAGCAGGGACTTTTTCAAAGCTTCCCTGGATGTGTTCTTGGTGTGGGTATGTCATTAACACTGACTCAAGGAACCGACACAACCAGGTCCTACTGGACATTAACACACATCAAAGGATTCGACAATTTCCTTCATGTGATGGCCTTATGTAATGTGATGATCTTTGCAGTCATTTTGTAATCTGCAATGTACCCCTGCCCATATTAACTCATCAATAGCCAAAAATATACAACAAACTCGGCCTTCAAGATCACATGGCACAGGGGTACCACAGACATGAAACCTTCTATTACACATGCCTAGAAGGCACTTAATATGCACTCAGTAGCCTTAGGGAATCCTGAGACATCCCACTTTGAGCTTTAAGGCCAGCATAATTTTTTGTCTCATCAACAAACCTACCAGGGTGGGGTATTACTTTGGACAGTGAATTACACTGGGTGCCTTTTACCCAGTGTACTTTACTAAAGAGCACTCTATAAATAAAAAATATTAGTGAATGAATGGCAGAAATAGTTACTGACACTTAATTACAGTGTAGTATAGCCTTAACTATATATTACTGTTGATGCAATAAATTGTCAGGATGTTTTATTTTTGTTTAGTTAGTTGACTCAATTATAATTATAGGTAAATAACTATGGGTGCATTTATTTATTTGGCTTAATTATAATTACATACAAGCAAATAACTAAGACTGTTTGAAATAAAAAAAAATAATCTTACAATCATATCAAATTCAGATATGAAAATATAAAATACAATACATAAAAGTAAAATACAGCACGTAACACAAAATACAGTACCTATAACATGTGTGCGGCAGGTGGAGACAAGGACGAAAGCCACAAGGTAGTTCCATAACACAGCAAACACTGATAACACAACCCGGAAGATATACCTTGTCTTGCAGACAAATACGTGAAGACCCACTTAGGAAAATTAGAGAAACAACTTTTTAGTGCTTAACATCAAATAACTCTTAGAAACAGCATTTTTTAAATACTGTATAATGTACTTAGTTTTAAATACCATAACATCTGTATAACATCAATTTAAAGGGCAAACTGGGCAATACAGACTCAGTCTTCTTCTAGAAGAATGTAAAAAGACAGACAGAACTTTTAACCCACCATAAAAATTGAATATTAATACAACAGTAACCTTAGATAAAGGCACATAAAGTAAACAAGTACAGTGGTACCTCAAGTTACGAACTTAATTCGTTCCAGAAGGCTGTTTGAGTGCCAATACCGAACAAATTTGTTCCAATACACTCTCGAATGACTTCGAGTGTGTTTAAATCTGTAGTGGAGGGAAGGCGGGGTAGGGGTCGGCCTAGGAAAGGTTGGAAGGAGAGGGGAAAGGAGGTTTAGTGTGTGATGGGTTTGGATTTCCAGCAAGCATGTGTGAGCGTATTTGATAGGAGTGAATGGAGACAAATGGTTTTTAATATTTGATGTGCTGTTGGAGTGTGAGCAAAGTAACATTTATGAAGGGATTCAGGGAAACCGCAAGGCCGGACTTGAGTCCTGGAGATGGGAAGTACAGTGCCTGCACTCTGAAGGAGGGGTGTTAATGTTGCAGTTTTATAAACTGTAGTGTAAAGCACCCCTCTGGCAAGACAGTGATGGAGTAAATGATGATGAAAGTTTTTCTTTTTCAGGCCACCCTGCCTTGGTGGGAATCAGCCAATGTGTTAATAAATAAAAAATAGATTAGTCCGCTTCAGACCCCCAAAAATACACTTACAAAAGCACCTACAAAAATACACTTACATAATTGTTTAAGTTGGGAGCTGTTCAAAACTCGAGGTACCACTGTACTCAGGCACTGGTGTCATTCTTTCTCTAAATGATGGAGGTGAGAATTTTCCAGGGGATGCTGCGAGATTCTCATTTCTCACTGATGCAGCCTTTCACCTAGCTCCATTATGTTGAAGAAATACTTAACATAACTTTTAAGACTATTCCACAGTCCTGTTTGCCATGAATGCTCATCCTTGTGAGCCCTCAATCCAGTTTATGCTCAATGAAGTCGATGACACTCTTCCTTTCCTTGACGTTCACTGCAAAGCTGACCATGACCTTCATTTCAAGGTCTACTGCCAATCGACCAACCAACACAATCTTCTCCTGGAGTTTACCTGGAGAGAGTTCTGGGGGTCAACGCCCCCACAGCCCGGTCTGTGACCAAGCCTCCTGGTGGATCAGAGCCTGATCAACCAGGCTGTTACTGCTGGCTGCACACAATCCAACGTACGAGCCACAGCCCGGCTGGTCAGGTACCGACTTTAGGTGCTTGTCCAGTGCCTGCTTGAAGACAGCCAGGGGTCTATTGGTAATTCCCCTTATGTATGCTGGGAGGCAGCTGAACAGTCTCGGGCCCCCTCTACTTACACCACAATACCAAAACTAAACACGGAATAATCATCAGCTTCCTTGTACATTACTTTAGTACCTGCAGCAGTGAATTCCATGAAGAATGCTCTTCCATCGAAGAAGTATTTTCTGAGCTTCACTATCATTGTCACTTCATCAGAGAGTGCTGACATCATACACAAAAATCTTCATCTTACATAGATTTGATACCAGTGAATGAAAGAAGATACACAGTCTCCCTACCAGCTCTATTGCCAAACTCATCTCCAATATTCTCCCCAACACTGAATTCCAGGTACATAACTACCACAGCATACACTACACCAAAACTCCCACACCCCTTAATTACAAAAATGCATGATTCATTGCCAAGGAGGAAGGCACACAGAAACACAGGATCTTGGAATCATCACTCAACAGTATATCCAATAATTTCAACCAGAACAAAAGCTTCTTCAACAAAGCTTAAGCCTCTTACCAGGAAACTCATCATTATCCCACATATCAAAAATACTGTAGCAGTTCCACTGGTCCATATTGAGTAGGCCCTTCTCAAATCCAACCTCTTCTCAACCATATATTTGTCGAGCCTGTGATTAGTCTACCCAAGAAGTGAACTTCAAAATACATCACCTGATTCTTCATGCAACTACTCTCTATATACACACATCCTCTCTCTCCCTAGGTAGATCAGTTAGAGATTTTAAAAAGCCCACTGTGTGGTGAAATGCTGTCAATAAAGGATTGCATTATGCTGCATTTGTCTTTTTTCCACTGTGTCAATATTTTATACCATCCCATCCCCTGGTAAGTTAAAATTGGTAATCATACACACGTTTTCCTTCTGACCTTCGTAAGTGTATTTTACCTTTTGAAACTTTCCAGAGTATTTTAATATTTCTTTCTTATTTCATTGAATATTATTTAATTTAATTCTTATATTAACAACTCTATCAGCCTTGTTGCAGTGAGTGCAGCTACAATTTGTGGTGGCACCAAGGGGGCTTTAGCTCTTCAAAGCCCCCAAATAGAAATATAGTGGACCCTCGACCAACGATATTAATCCATTCCTGAGAGCTCATCGTTAATCGAAATTATCGTTAGTCGAGTTAATTTTCCCCATAAGAAATAATGGAAATCAAATTAATCCGTGCAAGACACCCAAAAGTATTGAAAAAACAAAATTTGCCACATGAAATATTAATTTTAATACACACAAACTGAAGAAGACATGTACAATTACATGACACTTGCCTTTACTGAAGATCTGGCAATGATTGATGGGATGGGAGGAGGGGAGTGTGTGGATGGTGTTAGTGTTTAGAAGGGGAATCCCTTTCCATTAGGACTTGAAGTGTCCAGTCCTTTTCCAGGGTTACTTCCCTTCTTCTTTTAATGCCACTAGGACCAGCTTTAGAGTCACTGGACCTCTGTCGCACAACATATCTGTCCATAGAGGCCTGTACCTCCCGTTCCTTTATGACATTGTCATAATTAAACACCTGTTCAGGTTTCAATTCTTCACTGTCTATGTACTCCTTGAATTCCTGCACATATTTTTCAGCTGCTGTTTGGTCCGAACCGGCAGCCTCACCATGCCTTATCACACTATGTATGCCACTATGATTCTTAAATCTCTCAAACCAACCTTTGCTGGCCTTAAATTCACTCACATCACCACTAGTTGCAGGCATTTTTCTAATTAAATCGTCATGCAACTTCCTAGCCTTTTCACATATGATCGCTTGAGAGATGCTATCTCCTGCTATCTGTTTTTCATTTATCCACACCAATAACAGTCTCTCAACATCTTCTATCACTTGTGATCTCAGTTTCGAAAACATAGTTGCACCTTTGGCAAGAACAGCTTCCTTGATTGCCATTTTCTTGGCCACAATAGTAGTAATGGTTGATTGGGGTTTTGTGTACAACCTAGCCAGCTCAGAGACACGCACTCCACTTTCATACTTAGCAATGATCTCTTTCTTCATTGCTGTAGGGTTGGCACTAGAAGCTTTCTTGGGGCCCATGGTGACTTATTTTGCAGGTGCAATCACTAAAAACGCTGTGATAATATGAAATGTTCCGACTGTATGTTTGGATGGGACCGCGGTGGCTGGCTGGCTTGTAAACACTGGCCACAAGTGGACACATCTCGAACGAAACGAATCGTGTTGGTCGAGTTTTTTAGCGCTAGTCGAGGAAAAATTTTTGCTTTAAAATGTATCACTAGTCGGATTTAACATTAGACGATGCCATCGTTGGTCGAGGGTCCACTGTACTAGTACAATCATACCCCACTTTACATCATTTTGGTCTACGTCAAATTTGTCTTTATGCCACTTTTCTAGAGTAAATTTCAGTTCAGCGAATGCCATTACATCACTCAGCAATGTCACCTACATCATAATTTTTTTAATTGTGTTCATTATTCTTTAAAAAATAAGACTAAAATGTTTTTTTAGTGTTGTTTAAGGTTTAGCAATAGTTATGTTCTTTCACAAGTTATTTAAACTAATTTTATGTTGTTTGTTGTGATTTTAAAGCACTTTTAAGGCATTATGTCTGGTTTACATAAAAATGGTTTACATAAAAAACTGGGTTATGCCACAGCTCTTGGAACCAATTAATGACATAGGGCAGGGTATAACTGTAATAATAATAATAATAATAATAATAATAATAATAAATGCAGCAGCGAGGAGACGGTTGGAGGCAGTTGAGATGTCCTATCTAAGGGCAATGTGTGGTGTAAATATTTTGCAGAAAATTCGGAGTGTGGAAATTAGGAGAAGGTGTGGAGTTAATAAAAGCATTAGTCAGAGGGCAGAAGAGGGGTTGTTGAGGTGGTTTGGTCATTTAGAGAGAATGGATCAAAGTAGAATGACATGGAAAGCATATAAATCTATAGGGAAGGAAAGAGGGGTAGGGTCATCCTCAAAAGGGTTGGAAAGAGGGGGTAAAGGAGGTTTTGTGGCTAGGGGCTTGGACTTCCAGCAAGCATGCATGAGCGTGTTAGATAGGAGTGAATGGAGCGAATGATACTTGGGACCTGACGATCTGTTGGAGTGTGAGCAGGTAATATTTAGTGAAGGGATTCAGGGAAACCGGTTATGTTCATATAGTCGGACTTGAGTCCTGGAAATGGGAAGTACAATGCCTGCACTTTAAAGGAGGGGTTTGGGATATTGGCAGTTTGGAGGGATATGTTGTGTATCTTTATACGTATATGCTTCTAAGCTGTTGTATTCTGAGCACCTCTGCAAAAGCAGTGATAATGTGCGAGTGTGGTGAAAGTGTTGAATGATGATGAAAGTATTTTCTTTTTGGGGATTTTCTTTCTTTTTTGGGTCACCCTGCCTCAGTGGGAGACGGCCGACTTGTTGAAAAAAAAATAAAAATAATAATAATAATAATAATAATAATAATAATACTTCAAAATAACTCCCCTAGCCCCTATCCAACCAGACACCCCTAAGACCAAAACGTATAAAAATTCTGTCACCTCCCTGGCTAGAGTTGAAAAATAAATTAGGTAACAATACTTTAAATAATAAATTTAATAAAAAAATACTTTACTAATGAGCCAAGAAAGAAATGGAATATCATGAGGAACACAAAAATACCTAAAATCATAAGAAGCAGTAATGACTAAGAGTACAAGATTGGATTACATACATGGTATGCCTCAGTCTATAACATCCAGATTTGTGACTTTCTGGAATATGATTCCATTAATTTTCACCCATGTTTTGAGCTATGCTTTGAGCTTTGATTTGTGACTATAATTTTGGACTTAAGACAAAAATTTGTTAATGGTTCAGTACATTTATGATTCATACTGATCCATTAGTTATCTGATGTGACATGACTATCTGTCAACATGCATTCAAAATACCAAGTGTCTAAGTAAGCTGTGAAGAATGTTCTGTAGCTGGAATTGTAACTCTTAATGATAGAGGTAATAAAGTTCTGGTAACTTTGCAGCATCTCATAATTTCTACTTTTGAAGATTTGAGTAGGTAGACATCAAATACATTACAGGCAATATAGGTATGAACACCAATATAAATAAGGATTCCAATTATACAGTCTGCAAAGAAAGTTATGATACCAGCTTCAAGACAAACTTTTGATCATTGAAACTTATGGCAACAGATGGCTGAAATCTGGACTTTCACACATCAATTGCAAGTGGAGCCAAGTGGCTTCAAGAGTGGGCTCATCTGTCTTTGGGTCGAGCTTTGTACTATGTTCAATAAAATTCAGATGATGGTGCATGTGACTGATAATGTTAAAAGAGAGCAGTGTTTTGTTATATGCTTCATAGATGCTCCAGAGGTGAAGCAGCCATGAAGTAGAGAACAAAACACTGTCCTCTTCTAACATTATTATACCTTATCCATCCAATATGCCATCATCTGAGCATCACTGAATACAGTTCAGAGTTTGACTCAAAGAAGGATGAGGCCACTCTTGAAACTGCAAGACTCCACCTGCAACTGGTCTTCGAGCTGTTTCCAAGATTTCTAGAAAGTCCAAAGACTGACTTTCTGTTGCCATATGCTTCAGTGTGATTTTGTAAATGGTTCAAGTCGGACCAAAATGTCGTCGTAAGCTCCTCTCTTTTATGTGCGGGTTATTTGTGTATCGTTCCAGTGCCTTTTTTTGTTATCAAAGGTTTTTCCTGCAGTCGGTGCCATAATTTTACATGCAGACTGAATGTGTCAACATTAATACCAATCATATAGTCTCTGCAAAAAATAACTAAATTGACTACCACAAAAAGAAAGCTTGGAAAAGGATCCATAAAATACACAAAAAAAATTTACGAGCTTTACCACAGAATTTAGAAAATACAAATGTAGTATCAGGTCATCTGACTTATACTTTAATTATGTTTTTATTCTTTTCTACTTGGTTCTTGATTAGTGGCAAACATTTTATTTGCATTTCAATCCAATGATTTTTTTTGTGGAGACTCTAGATATCAGCACCAACATAAATAAGGATCTCAATTATAAATAAGTGACAAACTGCATTACACAAAGTTACTGACCTCTTTGGCAAGTTTCGTCTTTGTAGTTTACAAAGGCATTGAGATCATTACAAATGGCAAGGAGGAGCATGAGTGTAAACAGCACAAATGATGCATTCATTTTTAATATTGTTTTGGAGTGAAGCCGCAACATGTCCAAGAATTTTTTGTGACTGAACAATCTGTAATAAATAAACAATATATATCTGAAAATCACCTTAATTAAATAAGTCAACAATAATAAATACAAATAAGGATGTAATTTAGATGAGTATAGAGTGTAGTGGTGAAGCTTCTAAGTGTCATGAATATACACTGCACCTGTCAATAACAGGAATCAACCCACATTACAAGAAAATGAAAAAATAGACATCAACAGAAAAAAAAAGTTGCTCTGGATGCTTTGACCTCAGTCTGAGGGTCTTCTCAACAAAATACAGAGTGAGTAAAAAGGCATGTTATATAGTGACTGGATGGGAGGTGAGGTGAGCATCTGTGCTTAGCGGTCCATATATTATTATAATCAAAAAGAAGCGCTAAGCCACAAGGGCTATACAGCAGCGGTCCATATAAAAAGGGTGGAGCTCAACCTAAATTATAAGACGAGTCTCAGCATAGTGAAAAGCCTCTTGGAGACCTGTTATTACTATGACCCGGCACTTTCTAATTAACGTGGTGCTAAGATGTGCTTTTTCAACACCTACTGTTTTATTGTTAAAAGGTTTCCTGACGTTTTTTGGAGAAACAGTGGCTAATTTTATTGTGATAGAAGAGAGACAGAGGGGAATTACCAATTTAAGTGATGGAGGATCCTTCACTTATTTATCTGTGTAACCTTCAGTAATTCTCATTATCTTCAGCAAGCCTTGGTTACATAAACCAATCTGAGAGTCCTAACTTTGAGAATTGTTCCCTAAAATCTGGAACACCCTACCTGAAAACTCTAGAACTGCAGACACATTCATCACTTTCAAAACTACAGTTAGAAAACATCTTATCTCCCTGATCCACCCCGACAACTAACTACATAATAACCACCTGGTGGTTCAAAATTACGCTCACTCATCCACTGACTATAAACCCAGAAATACTAATCTTAATCTTAAAATAATAAATCCTAACTAGTCATAAGTTTGCCTATGTTACTCAAATATAGACACCTTGTATTGTGCCAAAACAAAAGCATTCACATTGCTAAACTCAAAATTATGATGTAGTCACTTAGCCTTAATACTATAATCTGTAAGGACTTAATGTTAAGAATTAATCTAAGTCTGCTTGAAATGCCTAGCCATGCTAGGTGTCCTAGTGGCCCCCTCTGTAATTAGTATTTTATAACATGTAAACCACAAAGTACCCAAAACCTGTAAACCCCACACTGTAACCATTATAGAGAATAAACTTGAATTGAATTGAATATGGTTGCATTTCCTTGATCAAAGATGGGGGCTGCAAATTCTTATGCACTAAAGAAGAGATCGGAAACTGCACCTTTCCTAGACATATTAATTAAAAGAAATGTGTCACAAATATGTTGGTAATAGGTTGGTAAACAGCAACCGCCCAGGGAGGTACTACCGTCCTGCCAAGTGAGTGTGAAACGAAAGCCTGTAATTGTTTTACATGATGGTAGGATTGCTGGTGTCCTTTTTTCTGTCTCGTAAACATGCAAGATTTTCAGGTAAGTCTTGCTACTTCTACTTACACTTAGGTCACACTACACATACATATACAAACATTTATATACACACCCTCTGGGTTTTCTTCTATTTTCTTTCTAGTTCTTGTTCTTGTTTATTTCCTCTTATCTCCATGGGGAAGTGGAACAGAATTCTTCCTCCGTAAGCCATGCGTGTTGTAAGAGGCGACTAAAATGCCGGGAGCAAGGGGCTAGTAACCCCTTCTCCTGTATAAGTTGCTAAATTTAAAAAGAGAAACTTTTGTTTTTTCTTTTTGGGCCACCCTGCCTCGGTGGGACACGGCCGGTTTGTTGAAAGAAGAAGAGTCACAAATACTTCTTACCATGAAGAGTAAGCTACTACACATGAAGACTACAGTGCTGCATGAATAGTTCATTAGTCACCACTCTTCTTCAAGTTAGGTTACATAACCTTGCTTATCTAATCAGGGCTCATCAAAGCTGATAAGACAATTAAACAGGTGAAGAAACTATCTCCAACTATACTGGTAATTCCCTTTCATCCATGAATAGAAGAAGCATCATCTACCTCACTTGTTTCTATCTCAACAAAACTGTGAACAATTCATGAAAAAACTACAAGAAACCTGTCACCATGGAAACATTAGGCGTTTACTAAAAAAAATCCTGTAACATCTGTGAATTTGTGTAAACTGGTGAGACTATGTGGAATTTAGGAACTAACCAATCACTTGTTTTCTGTCAGGATAACAGACAACAAATGATTGGTTAGGTACACACAAGAAAATTCTGCAGTCTTCCTGCATATCAAATCCCGAATTCGCATTGTCAACTGGGAAGGTGGTTATTGCCAACAAAATGGAAATGCTTATAAAATGAAAACTCTAGAAACAGCATTAACTAATAACCCAAACTTTACCTATCAAAACAAGGACAGCTAAAACCTGATGTAATAACCAAATTTCCATTAAAAAATTACATCCCAGTACAATACAGTTTAATTTAGAAACCCTAACCATCGTGCTGACACGTCGCCAAGAGGCATCCCCCCCACCGCAACAAAACTATTCACATTATAATTTGCAAACTACAGTACACACACCTGGTAGTTATGAGATCAAGTATAGTTATCATACAAAACAGGTCAAATATGTTAGAGAAATTATAAAAATCACTCACCTTGGTTAAAATGGTAGCTTGAAAAGAGGTTCTTTTTCAGTTTTAGAAAAAAAAGAAGGGAATGTATTACTAAAGAAAGATGGTGTTACTAGCTATATGCATTGGACATGCCAGTAATGAAATGTTTTGCAGTGCATAAGATTTTCCTTTAACCTATTTGTTTATATAACCATTACTGTTCATCTATGAAAAAGGCAGCAATAAAAAGTGTTTTTCCTATGGAAACAAAGTAGACACAAATGTCAATGTGAACTATTATTATTACATTATAGAATAATTACTTTCTAACACACGAGCCATCTCCCACCGAGGCAGGGTGATCCTGCCTAAAAAGAAACACTTTCATTGTCAACCATTCACTCACTGTCTTAACAGAAGCATGTTGACATCACTGCACAGATGGCTCTCTGAACTACAACATTCTCATCTTATCCTTCAGAGTGAAGGCACTGAAATTTCACCTCCAGGACTCAAGTCTAGCTAACCAGTTTCCCAGTATCCTTCATAAATGTTATCATGCTCACACTAACACAGCATGTAAAGTCATAAAACCACTTGCCTCCACTCGCTCCTGACTAATGCACTCACAAAAGCTTATTATTTTTATTATATAAAATAAATGCTAAACCTGTATGGGTGATACAGTGCTCTGAAGTGGTGATGTGTAAGGGTTAGTAGAGTTGGGGGTTAGTGTGGGTGCAAAATTAATGTCGAAGTTGGTGCAATAGATGTAGTTTGCTAAAATGCCAAAGAGCAAGTTAGTATTGAAGGCAGGACTTCCGGGGAGGTCAGAGTTAACAAATTAGGGTGCTGCAGGTGTTAAATGTGACTATGGTATCCTCTTTGATATATAAGACAGTCTATTAATGTATGATGAATCAAAAGCTTGGCCTGATAGTTCTCACAATGAGGTGCTGGTCATCTCTCTCTGTGCTATCCATGTATGTCCCATTCCTAGTTATGCAAGCTTTGTTCCCCAATGCCAACAGCAATGGAAGAAAGATAGTTAGGAACCCATTTGTGATCATATTAAAAAAAATTTGTTGTGCTCTGAGTTGGAGAAGTGTTGTTACCAGTGACTTCAGAGTTGTTGAGAGAGTGCTGTAAAATAATCCAAGAAAGGGACCCCTCTCTGGGAGATTAGTTGGCCACAGAGAATCAAGCTGAGCCTCCATGTTTATTGCCCTGAACATCAGTGTGTCCAGGGACCTAGTAAAAAATGACTAATGACTACACAAGGGGCATTAAAGCTCCATGTAATTGTACACTGCTAGTGAAGGATGACAGTGAATACATTCACCAACACTCCCTCCATCACCATCTTGCCAAATAGAGTTTTATCACTGAATTTTTAATGCTGTTGGAGATATTGCTTTCAATGATATTAAAACACATTTAATATTTGGAATCAGTAATAAAATAGTAAAATCATTCTTTATTTAGAGGATACAACAGCAAATTGCATAACATGTAAAAAATGTATCATGTTTAAGTCACTGAGGGACATTAGCATAAATAAGCTGAAAGCTGGGAAGGGTGGAGACCAAGTTACTATTTCAAAAGGTGAAAATCTAAAGGTAAGGTTTAAACTAGATTTACTGTAATAAAGAAAATCGTCATCAAAGGGAAAGAGTACATGGCATTTCTCTCACAGTAGTTTACAGTGATGGGTGAGGGCAACTCATCGACATGTGGTGATTTCTTATATAAAATACTTCTAGCTATAAAGCTAGCCATGTATACTGTATTTCAAGGTAACGACTTACAGCTAACTATATAATAGACCAAATGACTTCATAAACAATGCCAAATTTCCACCCACCTGTAAGCCAGATTGTTTGCATATACAGCCAGTGCTCCCCATAATAATGAAAAAAAAATACTAAGAGAACCATCGATTACCGTTGTCTTGGTGTAATCACTCACGATATCGTAAGCAGTAAACCACCAGCTACTTAGTAAGAAACCTGTGCAAGATAAAATAAAATTTAGTGATAAATTTGCACTATTCACAGTCTGAGTAACAAATACTATACAGTCATAATGACTTGCAATTTTTAAACTCAACAAATGGAAAAAAATACAACACAATTCTATCTAAATTGTATATGCAATTTTGTCTGTATCCTAATCATAAAGTCAGGATAAACTAAAGGAAGTCTGACGATGTTGAGACTGTGTTTCCCAAAACTGAGGGATAAATTCATGTGCAAAATGATGTGCAAACTAGCTTCGGCAGATGAAATCTAATGAATGATAAAAGTCAATATTACATAACATCTTTCTTTTGGCATGTCATTTTATTTAGCTTCTCAATGCCTACTTTCACTCACATAAGTCCCTCATTACCTGTCAACAAAATGTGAGCACACATAAGAATGAAGGGTTGTTCCAAACCTTTAAAAAAAAAAAAAAAAAAAGTCAAAATGCATTTACCCAAATGAATTCATACAATACAAAGGATCCGTGTTCCTTAGGTATCGAATAATACAAACAGTAGTAGGTTGGTAGACAGCAACCACCCAGGGAGGTACTACCATCCTGCCAAGTGAGTGCAAAACGAAAAACTGTAATTGTTTTACATGATGGTAGGATTGCTGGTCTCTTTTTTCTACCGTCCTGCCAAGTGAGTGTAAAACAAAACCCTGTAATTGTTTTACATGATAGGTAGGATTGCTGGTCTCTTTTTTTCTGTCTCAAACATGCAAGATTTCAGGTACATCTTGCTACTTCTACTTACACTTAGGTCACACTACACATACATGTACTAGCATATATATATACACCCCTCTGGGTTTTCTTTATTTTCTTTCTAGTTCTTGTTCTTGTTTTTTTCCTCTTATCTCCATGAGGAAGTGGAACAGAATTCTTCCTCCATAAGCCATGCATGTTGTAAGAGTCGACTAAAATGCCGGGAGCAAGGGGCTAGTAACCCCTTCTCCTGTATAAATTACTAAATTTAAAAAGAGAAACTTTCGTTTTTCTTTTTGGGCCACCCTGCCTTGGTGGGATATGGCCGGTTTGTTGAAAGAAGAAGAAGTTCTTGTTCTTACTGCTTTTCCTTTCATATCCAAGGGGAAGTGGAACAAAAATCTTTCCTCCGTAAGCCATGTGTGTTGTAAAATTCAATTAAAATGCCGGGAACAATGGGCTAGTAACCCCTTTTCCCGAATGGCCTACTAAAAAGAAAAAGAAGAAAACCGTCAAGTAGGATGTTTGAATGTGCGTAGATGTTGTGTGAATGATAAGAAAGAGATGATTGTGGATGTTATGAATGAGAAGAAGCTGGATGTCCTGGCTTTAAGTGAAACAAAGCTGAAGAGGGTGGGAGAGTTTCAGTGGGAAGAAATAAATGGGATTAGGTCAGGGGTTTCAAACAGAGTTAGAGCTAAAGAAGTAGCAATAATGTTGAAGGATAAGTTATGGCAGGCAAAGAGGGAACATAAATGTATTAATTCAAGGATTATGAGGTGTAAAATAAGGGTTGGATGTGAAAAGTGGGTTATAGTAAGCATTTATGCACCTGGAGAAGAGAGAAGTGTAGAGGAGAGAGAGAGAGATTTTGGGAAATGTTGAGCGAGTGCATGAGGAATTTTGAACCAAGTGTGAGAGTACTTTTGGTTGGGGATTTCAATGTTAAAGTGGGTACAAATGTTGTGGAGGGAGTAGGTAAATTTGGGGTGCCAGGGGTAAATGAAAATGGGGAGCCTTTAATTGAGCTATGTGTAGAAAGAGGTTTGGTAATAAGTAATACATATTTTATGAAAAAGAGGATAAATAAGTATACAAGGTGGGCTAGTATGAATATGAGTAGTGGGGGGCTTGAAGAGGGTTGGAATAGTTTTAAAAATGTAGTATTAGAATGAGGGGAAGAAATTTGTGGCTATAGGAGTGTGGGTACAGGAGGAAAGAGGAGTGATTGGTGGAATGATGAAGTAAAAGGTGTGATAAAAGAGAAAAAGGTAGCTTATGAGAGGTTTTACATAGCAAAAGTGTTATAAGAAGAGCAGAGTCTATGGAGAGTAAAAGAAGGTGAAAAGAGTGGTGAGAGTGCAAAAGGAGAGCAGATGATAGAGTGGGAGAGGCACTGTCAAAAAAATTTGATGAAAATAAGAAAAATTTTGGAGTGAGATAAACAAGTTAAGAAAGACTAGGGAATGAATGGATTTGTCAGTTAAAAATAGAGTAGGGGAATTAGTAGATGGGGAGCTGGAGGTAATGGGTAGATGGCAGGAATATTTTGAGGAACTTTTAAATTTTGATGAAGAAAGGGAGGCGCTAATTTCATGTACTGGCCAGGGTATAACATCTTTTAGGAGTGAGGAAGAGCAGGATGTGAGTGTGGGGGAGGTGCATGAGGCATTATGGAGAATGAAAGGGGGTAAAGCAGCTGGAACTGACGGGGTCATGACAGAAATGTTAAAAGCAGGGGTGGATATAGTGTTGGAGTGGTTGGTATTTTTGTTTAATAAATGTATGAAGGAGGGGAAGGTACATAGGGATTGGCAGAGAGCATGTATAGTTCCTTTATATCAAGGAAGGGGGACAAAAGAGATTGTAAAAATTATAGAGGAATAAGCTTACTGAGTATATCAGGAAAAGTGTATGGTAAGGTTATTATTGAAAGAATTATAGGTAAGACAGAGAGCAGGATTGTGGATGAGCAAGGAGGCTTTAGAATGAGTAGGGGATGTATAGATCAAGTGTTTACATTAAAGCATATATGTGAACAGTATTTAGATAAAGGTAGGGAAGATTTTATTACATTTAAGGATTTAGAAAAGGCATATGATAGAGTGGATAGGGGACCAATGTGGCAGATGTTGCAAGTACATGGAATAGGTAGTAAGTTACTAAATGCTGTAAAGTTTTTATGAGGATAGTGAGGCTCAGATTAGGGTGTGTAAAAGAGAGGGAGATTACTTCCCGGTAAAAGTAGGTCTTAGACAGGGATGTGTAATGTCACCATGGTTGTTTAATATATTTATAGATGGGGTTGTAAAATAAGTAAATGCTAGGGTGTTGGGGAGAGGGGTGGGATTAAATTATGGGGAATCAAATACAAAATGGGAGTTGACACAGTTACTTTTTGCTGATGATATGGTGCTTATGGAAGATTCTAAAGAAAAGCTGCAAAGGTTAGTGGACGAGTTTGGGAGGGTGTGTAAAGGTAGAAAGTAGAAAGTGAACATAGATAAGAATAAGGTGATGAGGGTACCAAATGATTTAGATAAAGAAAAATTGGATATCACATTGGAGAGAGGGAGTATGGAAGAAGTGAGTGTTTTCAGATATTTAGGAGTTGACTTGTCATCAGATGGGTTTAAGAAGGATGAGGTTAACAATAGAAGTGATGAAGGAAAAAAGGCGAGTGGTGCATTGAGGTATATGTGGAGACAAAAAATGTTATCTATGGAGGCAAAGAAGGGAATGTATAAAAGTATAGTGGTACCAACACTCTCATATGGGCATGAAGCTTGGGTTGTAAATGCTGCAGTGAGGTGGTGGTTGGAGGCAGTGGAGATGTCCTGTCTAAGGGCAATGTGTGGTGTAAATATTTTGCAGAAAATTCAGAGTGTGGAAATTAGGAGAAGGTGTGGAGTTAATAAAAGTACAGTGGACCCCCGGTTAACGATTTTAATCCGTGCAAGAGGGCTCATCGTTATGCGAAATAATCGTTATGCGAATGAATTTTCCCCATAAGAAATAATGGAAATCAAATTAATCCGTGCAAGACGCCCAAAAGTATGAAAAAAAAATTTTTTTACCACATGAAATGTTAATTTTAATACACACAAACTGAAAAAGGCATGCACAATTACATGACACTTACTTTTATTGAAGATCTGGTGATGATTGATGGGATGGGAGGAGGGGAGAGCATTATCTTCTTACTGTTTAGAAGGGGAATCCCCTTCCATTAGGACTTGAGGTAGCAAGTCCTTTCTGGGGTTACTTCCCTTCTTCTTTTAATGCCACTAGGACCAGCTTGAGAGTCACTGGACCTCTGTCGCACAACAAATCTGTCCATAGAGCTCTGTACCTCCCGTTCCTTCAAGACTTTCCTAAAATGGGCCATAACATTGTCATTGAAATAGTCACCAGCACGGCTTGCAACAGCTGTGTCAGGGTGATTTTCATCTATAAAGGTTTGCAGTTCAACCCACTGTGCACACATTTCCTTAATCTTTGAAGTAGGCACAATGGATTCCACAACTGGCATAGGCTTCTCAGGGTTAGCCCCAAACCCTTCAAAATCTTTCTTAATTTCCATACTAATTCTCACCCTTTTTACCACAGGGTTGGCACTAGAAGCTTTCTTGGGGCCCATGGTCACTTATTTTCCAGAAACAGCACCGAAAACACTGTAATAATACGAAATATTCCGAGTGTATGCTTGGATGTTACCGCGGAGGCTGGCTGGTAAACAATGGGACGGCCGGCACATGTGAGGGCACATTGGACGCGTCTCGGACGAAAATCGGTATGCGGGTTTTTAATCGGTATGCGCGGCAAAAATTTTGCGATAAAAGTAATCGTTATGCGGAAAAATCGCTATGCGATGCCATCGTTATGCGGGGGTCCACTGTATTAGTCAGAGGGCTGAAGAGGGGTTGTTGAGGTGGTTTGGTCATTTAGAGAGAATGGATCAAAGTAGAATGACATGAAGAACGTATAAATCTGTAGGGGAGGGAGGACAGGGTAGGGGTTGTCCTCCAAGAGGATGGAGGGAGGGGGTAAAGGAGGTTTTGTGGGCGAGGGGCTTGAACTTTCCAGCAAGCGTGCGTGAGCTTTTTAGAGAGGAGTGAATGGAGATGAATGGTTTTCGGGACCTGACGAGCTGTTGGGGTGTGGACAGGGTAATATTTAGTGAAGGGATTCAGGGAAACCAGTTATTTTTATATAGCCGAACTTGAGTACTGGAAAGTGCTGAATGATGGTGAAAGTATTTTCTTTTTGGGGATTT